CCCCCCCCCCCCCCCCCCCCCCCGGGACCTGCAAAGATATGCAAACTAATGAATCGTTCATATTTTTCCAGAACCGACTTCTACAAATGATTCGTTTACAGCAACAGCAACTCCAGAGACAACAACAGCAACACCAGCTGTCCGCCGCATCAGGAACTGCCATCGCTGACGATTCCACACCACCATCCGAACCCTACCCTTTAATGCCCATTTCACTACCGCCATCCCGATTCTCCACTCAATTCCCATCCAATCTCTCTAGACGCCGTAGTTCCGGCCATTCTCCTGCCCTCACGCCTCAGAATATAGACCACGAAACTGGCATGTTTGTAGACTGGTCGACGGTGGGTGGAGATAGCAACGGACGGCGTGGCAGCCGTGATGAAGCTTCATATTACCAGGCAGAGACGGCAATGTTAACGCGGGAAAATCAAATGCTGCGTGTGAGGATTCGGGAATTAGGTATGATTTACCATATCTGCAAACTTGCAGTCCTACCACTTCCAATTAGTAATGATGAAAATCCATACTAACTTTTCTCCACGGCTGCTACAGAACGCCAGGTTGCTGAGCTGAGTTCGTCGGCTGCACATGCGCCTTCCACGGGATCGCCTCTGTCCATGTCAGAACCTGTACCCCCCACTCCAGTTGTAGCGGAAACAGTACCGCCGCCCCAAGCGCAGGAAGGCACAGGAGATGTAGAGAAGTCTTGAAAACTAACAGCTTCTGTCATGGCCACGGGTCTTGCTTAACATAATACCCAAATTTCCTCTGTTCGGTTTTGCCACCATTTCCTCCAGCCAATCCACCAAGTCATAATGCTTTTTCTCGAGAATCCGAACCAAACAAAGGCTTTTAAAATACATCACCTCGCACATTTCATATTTACGTATTTCAAAAAGATAATGCCTTGTATCGGGAACAATCATTTGTTCACAGCCTACAAAAATTCTTTAAGATCCCCAACTTAAGCGGAACGACACATACATACATTTTAGAGGCGGAAAGGTGAAGCACATGGTCATGAATGATATTCTCTCATGTTCTCTCTGTTCTTGCACAGTGAGCTTGTATTTCATATTCTATGTTTGCATTCAGCACACAAGGCATATCTATATGTTTCTTTTTTCTTTTTCCTTTTTATCTCTTTCCCCTTTATTCTCTTCTCTCTTCTCCCCTCTCCATCTCTTAATGGTTCCTTTCTCATATGGTTTAGGGCATTTGGCTAGCACTGCACGGTTTCACTTTTGTTTTTCAATCTTTCGTTTCCCACTTTCATACTGATGTTTTTCCATTGGGCATTCTGCTTGATAGAAATGAGAGAACAGACGACAAAAAATCAAGTGCTATCATGATCAAAGATACTGTTCATGCATGACATTTTGAGATAAGTAGATTTAGTTACAACTTTTTATATCTCTTCAGATTATTATAATCGAATATCTTGAAATACAATTGCAAACGGGGGTGAGGAACATTATTTTGGACTAAGCGTAGTTAGGAAATAATTTTGCCTAATTAGGTAACCTTACTTCCATAACTAGTTTATGGTAGAAAGGCCGATGTCAAGCGCAGAGAGCCCAAAGTTGTTACAAGGGAAGAAAAGCTAGTTATGGAGATGATGATATCCAAACATCAAAATGAAAAACAACCCGTACAACGTACGTGTCTCTAAACAGGATATCGAGAAACAGAACTATATATTGATACAGAGCTTCTTCGGGAGCAAAAACAGCACAAAAACTCGAAAAGCAGCACCGTAATCTATCTATCTATCATAAAATAAGGTATGGCAAAACGGCATAGCAAGACCAAGGGGGGGGGGGGGGGGGGGGGGGGCACACCGAAAATTCCAGACATTGGAACAAGAGATTAACGTGAACATGATCGTGACGATACACTAAATCCAAATTGAACCCCTGACTTTTTCCCTCCCCGTCCCCATCAGCGCTCACAACTGCCGAAAAGAGACACTCACAACAACCAAATAACCACCAACACCATACCTACAACTTCGCCTTCTCCGTCTCAGTCAAGAGGTCAGGCATAAGTAGATCGCGTACCTCACACGCCGCCTCATTGAGATAGAAACTCATGCGCTCAGCGCCAATCTTCTTGCACACGATGTTGAATTGGAGACTACACAGTCAATTAGTATTTATTTTCTCCTTTCTCCTTTTCCACATCTCTTCCCCACCCGTCAAAATAGGAATGAATACACACCTATTCTCATTAATCATATACGCAATTCCAAACCCATCATCCACAACCTGACTCCATCCATATCCATTAAAGTACTCCGAGCTCAGCTGACTAGTGCTAATATACCAAGTCCCGCTATACGCATACGCCGGATCCTGGAAGATTTGCGGAACCTTCTCGCCATCCTTAAGGAGCTTCTTAAGGCCGAAGAGGTGTCGATCAACACCCTTCCCAACGCTAGCATCAGCGGTATACTTAACATGTGCCGCGAGCGCGGCGCGGAAGTTCTTCACCACTTCCTCACGGGGGACATTGGTGTCAGCATGCGACTTGCAGAAGGCGACGCTCTCGTCTGAGACAGAACGGGTGGTCTCTGTGCGGCCTAGTTGGAACTTGCGGGTCGAGGCTGACTCGTAGGTTGGTCTGTTCTTGCCAAACATCTTGAAGTAAGCGAGTTGGATGAGCATCTGTACGTAGGCATCTGGGCTGCATTTGAATTTCTTAATTAGACCCTTTCCGTAGCCCTGGAAGGCCTGGACGCGGAGCTCGTGCTGACCGATGACGGTGTTAAACGCGTGTGTAGCTGTGGCAATGTCATCAACGACTTGGTCGTTAAGTTCAAAGCGGACAGGTTGTGGCTCCGGGAGGGTGGAGCGGATTGATGGGTTGGAGTAGTCGAGGCGGTCATTGAAGATCATGTTGTTTATGTAGTCATTTAGGCGGTGGGTTGGGGTGCCGTCCATCATGCTGTGCTCGCCCATGAAGCCGGCGGTGCCGTTCTCGTTGACGATGAACTGAAGAGGTTTATCATACCAGCGATTGCAGCCGTCACCATGCCAGTAGGAGTGTGCGCGCTCTTCCAGGGTGACGGGGGAGGCGTCGTCTAGGCAGACGGTGAATGCTGCGCTCTGTATGGTCTCCAGTGCAGCCTCATTGACTGTGCTGGCTTTGATGAGGTTCTTTCTGGCAATGGCCCAGAAGTCTCGGTTTGCAGAGGTAAGCACGCCAACTGGCTGTACTTTCTCTGCAGTTTTGTAAATTTTCTCAAACTGCTGCTGGAGCTCAGAGGTATTGAGCTGCTGTCCATTGACGTAGGTCAGAACCTTGAAGATCTGGTTCTTGCGGATCACGATAATATGCTCGTTGCCCTGGGGAGGATATGTGACGGGGTAGTCGACTTTATCACCGGGCATACGGCAGGCATTGAACATGTATTTGTAGGAACTCATGGCCATGGGTTCCTTGCGCAGGTATTCTGGCTCGAGAGATCCATCGTCGACCTGCTTCTTGAATTCCAGCACGGAGGTGGTGATGGCAGCAGCACGCTTTGCGGGATTTCTCCGGTGTCTGTCGTCCCGGTAAGAGTAGAAGTAGCTAACATATGGCACAACTGGGTCACGATAGGCAAGATATGCGGCTTCGTTCCACCAGTCGTACAGCCAATTAGGATGGTTTGGATCCGCTGCTCTGGCCAGTAGCCGCTTCTGGAGAGGCTCTCCCTCACCACCTGGCCTGACGAATTCCTTGACGGCTTTAGAGGTGTGCTTGAACTCTGCGTCGGTAAGGAGTGGGTGGACTGATTTCAGGTATCGCTTGCCCGTCTCTTCGAGAACTGGAACGGGGAGTTTTGGCAAGGAATCTTCAAACCGGAGCATCTTCCCTTTCGACAGATCCTCCTTGTATCCTAATATCCATTTAAGTCACAAGGTCAATCGGGGGCTGGAAGACTTCGTATTTTTTTTTTTGTTTTTTAACATGTCCGAAAACATGGAGATAGAACAACGGAAGCATGTGTATGTACCTTGCGGAACGGAGGAGTTGGCCCGTCGAGTGGCCATTGTGAGAATCTAAATGGCAGCCAATATCATCAATACGGCAAAGCCAGAAGTTTAGAAAATAATAAACGACATAAACCGCTAGATGCAGACAAGTGAACGTGGACAACGAACCGTAGAACGGGCGGGATGTACGGCAGAGGCAGCTCGTCCGAGGACAGTAAGACGACCTCGAGCGGCAGCAGGGAACATCCCTTTTTGAGAGTGGTAGCCGGTGGGGGGGGAGGGAAGAGGGAGGATACGAGAAGAAGAGTAAGTTAGTATAAACACGGTGGAAAGAGGGCACCGGTCTAATAAATAAAACCAAAAAGGGGCGTTGAGTCGAGTTGAGGTGGAGAAATAAAAAGCAGCGGGAAGAAATTCTTAGGTGGTTTTGATGCGGATAACGGAAGGGAGACAGGCACGGAAGCTTGTGCAGATGTTCCTCGGCTGGATGGAGGTACCTGCCCCGCCATACAACGGGGTGTGGATTGGCAGGTACCAAGCCGGATCTCTGCTTGTTTGTGCCGCTGTCGACTTATTCCCTTATGTCAGATACAGATATTATCGGCATATTAAAACCGCTCCTCACGCATATTAGGAACGCTCAAAAAGGGATAGAGTGGTGAATCCCCACAAAATGATAGTTAACTAACTAGTTACGAAGAGATAAGAGGAAATCTCTCTTCCTAACATCATTTCCCTCTAATTTAAATTCCTCTTCTTCCTCAACCACATACATGCAGGTCTATATGAGCTACGTAGGTATACAAACACTATATTTATGCAGGATCTCATGGCATGTCCGCGATTAAACTGTAGGTTTGTTTTCACCGAACAATCCCGATCTATGATTGTCTAGGAATTCACCGAGCCGAGGCTGTTTGAACCAGGTCACAGACATATATACACAAGTCCCCCCCCGCCCCCGCCCCGCAAGGCTGAGTGAGTATTTACATGAATTCCTCAAACGCTTCCCAAGATTAATTCAATGCCTAATATTTACTTACTCTGAATATTTACATGAAATTCGCATGTATTAACTACCTAGTTACCTCAAATCTAATAATATTCCTTTATCTTTTCACAGAGTATTTACAAAAATAGTTTATTTTTTATTATAAATAAATTATTCTCTTGTTTATTAGAGTTAGATGCAGCGTCAAGTTCTGCAAAGAAAGCTAAGATGGAATCTACTAACTATTCCTCTTTTAATTGCTCTCTTTTCAAAATTTGACTTCTTTAATAGAAAGCTCAACAATTTCATGAATTTTAATAAGCCCGTCATTCTATTATGCTTGTAGATCTACTTCTAATACAGCTGCTGTGACCTTTTTAACTGAAATTTCCAACTTTCTAGTCTGATTTCTAATCTTTAAAAAACAGTGACTTTATCAAAAGTTTTTTGCATGTTTTCACCATCAGCAAATATTATATTAAAATTAGATTAAATTCTTTTTTAATTTTTGAATTTCAGAAGAAGCTCTCTAATTGACTAAAAAGTGGTATGAATTGTAGCTTTTTAAAGTTGTCTGCTGAGTATTTAACTTTTCAATAGTTCTACTGACTTTGTGTAAAGATCTTCTGATTTCAGTGCAATATTTCATCACATTTTAATTATTATAAAGTTGTATATATATGTTGAGAGTTTCATACCTTGCTTTGCTGTTTGGCTTTAAGCTTGAAAGAGGCTCTGTCCCTCCGGAATGCTATCGAATCTTTGATCATTTTGATCAGGCCATTTTCATGCAAACATCCCCGCGCTCTCATCACATACACATCAGTACATCCTCCCGCGTAGGCCGTGAGTTTGAGATATATTGGCAGCTTGAGTAGTTCTGACTAATGGGGTAGGAGACTGGCTCCAAACTGATTCTATGGAGGAAGCCCTAGAGAACAAGATGCGGATCTCCACCGCCAAATCCCTTTAGCCCGTTCACCATTTCCTTGCCGCAATGAACTCCGACTTCAGGCGTATTATCATGTCAACATATTGCCAATTCTGTAATTGAGAAGTCCGCGATCGGCCGCTCGTTCCAGTGGGAGAGGCTATCCTATCAGAGAAGAGAGAGGTCATTGCCGTGACTTGCTTTCACCTTCTCGGCTACGATAGTTTGCGTTGGGAATGTCCGTTATCAATGTCTTCTCTAGGATCATGTGCAATGGTTGGCTAGCAAACCGCTTCCCAAAGTCAAGGGGGCCAAAAGATTGACCTATATCAACTGAACTACAGTCGGACAAATTACAATTGGACGTGACATGGTCAGGGCCTTTTGGAGCTTGCACACACTTTAGGATATATAGATAATGTAGGCATAGGTACAGGAAGGGAACAGGATGCATCTCAAATAGACAGGGCAATCATTTCTAGCAATGGGATTTGGATAACGAGTTCTGACTATGATTGGTTCAAAGTCCTTGTTAAAGCTTCCCCTTTTTTAACTTAGTTAAATATTAGTCAAATACAGTAACTAAGTGAAACAACAAAGTTTATCTAAGTGGATAAGAAGATTGGATTGATTTTTCATATATAATATTCATTCAAGAAATGTCATTCATAGTATAAGAGAACTGACTCTTCAGTAGATATCGATTTCAATTTCTCAAGCAGATAATTTTCTCATGTTGTATAACCATTCACTCAATTTTGTAGGGTGATGCAGAAAATATTGTAAAAGCTCACAGCTTTCTTAATGCTTGAGACTTTATCTCTCTCTAATGCTTAAATAGCTAAAAGAATTTTTCATTCCTGAGTGTACGCCTCGGAGAAAACAATTGACTAGGTGGTTTGATCGACTGGGTGGTGGAATACGTTACCACCGACGGAACTGTTGACTATGGTGCTCAAGATCCAGAGGTCATTTCTATGTATGCGGCATCCTGCATCGGAAAAGGATCCCTGGCGCGCAGTTGTAGCCCAAGCTGTCGATTCAGTGCGGTTAATTAGCAACCCCATTCTCAGCCAGAATCATGATCATGGTAAGGACATTGGAGCTAACAATAAGAAACGACATTTAAATGACAAGTCAAATTGTAAATGGGGGCAACGTTCACCAAAATATATAAAAATAGACAAGGGGGGATTAACACACTCTGCTTGAGCTGATGTCATAAATAACAGGTGACAAACGGTAAGAAAGAAGAAATAAAGGAAACCAAACATCATTGAGCGTAATGCAACATACTAAACGAAAAATGAATAAAATCACTCTTCAAATTCAGGACTTACAAAACTCACGACACAGACTCAACAGCCTTGTTAACGCCCCTCTCTTCCCCTCCATTAACACCCATACCCATACTCAAACTCAAGCCCCCCATTTTCGCCCTATGCACCTCCACCCCACCAGCCCCTTTCCCCTTTAACCCATTGCTACCAGGAGTACAAATTCGCCCAGACCGCATCATACTCCTCAACCTCTTCCGGCGCGCCTCCCCGCCCCTCTCCTCTCCGTTCGAACCCCCTTCATCAACCCATTCGATCCGCTCGACCTTAAAACTCATCCCGTCATGATTATCCCCCCACGCCCGCGACTTGAGGCCGTACATCACGGTGGAGTCGTAGCGTTCGAGAGTTGGGAGTATGAGAAGGGTGATGTGTAGGTCTTTGTTGGACGGGGGAAGGGGAGGGATTTTGGGGGGTGGTTTAGTTGTTGATGAGATTGAGGTTGTTTGGGGTTTATCCGGGTTTTGGGATGCAGCGGAAGCGATGGTGGTGGGGTTGTTGGCTGTCATCGCCGGTTCGTCTGCAGAAGAGAATTTTGGCAACATGCTGCTCTTACCATTTTTCCCATTTGGCGCATGTTGATGCTGTTCCTTAATCTCCAAGTCTAACATGGAAACATCCACATCCTCTCCCCATTCACCACGAATAAACCCAGAGTGAATCGCTGCCGCCACAGGATCCGAGTCATCCGTATACACACCCGTGCCCCAGAGTGCCCGTCGTGCACAGATCTCTTCCCTGTGACTGGCATCAATCCGGAACCGTGGCACACGTATCGTGTATGTGCAATTTTCCTTGCCTTCGAACCGTGGGATGGGTACTGGTGTGCTTACATAGCCGAATTTGGAACTTTCGGGGGAAGCTCTGGAGGTAGGTACACCGATCTTGGGAGAGTAGAGTGTGGAACCTAGATGATGCCTGGGGCGATGAGCAACGCTGCGCAGAAGGGGTTGCAAATTTACAATTGTGCAATACTCGCGTAACGGAAGTGCCGGGGTGGAGGTCGTAGGAGGGCCAGTCGATGCAGCAGCACCACTGCCGGCTCGTGGAACATGATGATGATGGTGATGGTGGTGGTGATGGTGGTGAGGACCGAAATTTTGGGAGGAAGCGGCATTGCCGTCGGGGGTTATAGGTGATCGGAAACCGGGTGCCAAGGCTGATGGTGCAGTGTTTTGGGTAATTACAGATCTGGAAGTTTCTTCTTCCGGCTTATATCTATGATGATCACTATATGACGTTAGTAAGAAGATGAAAAAAGGGGAGGAAAGATTATACGACTGTCATAATGGGAACTTACTGTTGACCATGATGATGGTGATGGTGGACGTGTCGAGCCCTTCGCCCCCGGGTTGTTGTACCACGGGGACCAGCCCCGCTTTCAGCGTCAGCTTTCATATCATCATCTTTAGGTTTTCGGCCACGCCGCGCTGCGCCAGCAAGAGAACTAGTCCGAATTGACTTTGTGGCAGCGGTTTCATTCATTTCCGCACCAGCTGAGCGTGCCGCGATAGCGTCCCGTTTAAATGGGCTCGATGTCATCGGTGTGGGAGGTCCACTGCCAGCATGATTAGCTGTGGCGACGCCAACACCAGTTCCAATTCCCGAGAAAACACGACCAAGCTCGCTCTTAATGCCAGCTTCGTCTCCTGGGGCGATCATTGGTGCCTGCATGCTCTGAACGGCTCGTGGAAGCGGCGATGCCCTTCCTTCTCGCTTGTTCTCCGTCAGGCTGAGAAGGTTCCGGTATTGGAGGGGTTCATCGCTGGCTTTACGTTTCTGGTCATCGACTATGGTGCCAAAGGGTCTTAGTGAGGATGACCCGGGGGTTGGGGAAAAAACCCGAGAAGGTTCCTGGAACTTGCCTAGGCTTGGAGTGGAGGATGAATCATTGTGCTGTGAAAGCTCGGGCCTTTGCTGTTGTATTTGCGATCCGGAAATAGATCGAGGTCCAGGTAACTGAGATCCAAGTGATTTCGTATAGTTTTGCATACCGCTGAACCCAAAACCGGAGGATGGATCAGCGGCAGGGTGGCGAGCAGTTTCAGGAGACAAGCGCTGGGTGCTACCTGAATCCCAAGAGGATCGCTGGGAAGCTTCCTGTTCTCGCTCTCCGAATGGAGGCCCAAATCGTGCTTGCTGCTGTTTCATATCATGAGATACTCGACTGGAAAGCTCTTGTTCACGACTCACCGGCTCTGTGGGAGCATGACGTTCTTGCTGTTGAAGGCTGTATCTTTGCTGCGCGTGGGATGTTGGTTCAGCTGTGTGATATCCGTGTGCTGCACGTTGTGCTCCTGGTTCTTTAGGGGGGCCTTCTCCAAAATTGGGACCCACTGGCCTTGACCCCGGACTGAATAACGATCTTCTCATGGAAGGCTCCTCTTGATGCGGCTGACTGCTTGGCCTTTGAATTGGTCCGCTTACGCTAACACGTCTGCCTTCATTATATGATGGTCCCGCAAACGGCCCAGGTGGAGTTTGCTGGGAATTTTGTGGCTTTTCTGCATATATCGAGGACAGGCCCTGGGACCTCGACAAACTCCCAAAACGCGAGGTATCCTCTGGAGCATGCGGAGGTGGGTTTTGGGGAAGACTTCCAGAAGTTGACCGGAATGGACGAGGTGGCTGGACCTTTGAAAACAGGGCCCTATCGGGAGTGTGAGAACGTCTCAAAGGAGGAAAATCAGAAGTTGGCTGTGGCTGCGGTTGTCTTGGCGGGGCAGATGGGGGAGACATCGCAACGGTTGTTGGTCCGTGCACACCGCCTGGGACCGGGGATGCGGCAGGGCGACTGTAGAGTGATGATGGGCCAGTATCGCGAGGGGGGCGATCTGAATCTGATCCTAGCATCGAGGATATTGACATGCTACTTCCAGGACGATGTGCGGAGGGTTGGGGAGGTTCACGTGGAGGAAACGAAGTTGGTGCGGGAGGAGGAGGTGGAATAGGCGCGCCACGAGTATGATAATGTTGCGGAGGGGACGGAGGAAGCATCTGGCGATTATTATATGAAGAAGCGGGTGGGGGAGGTTGTTGGGTCCTTGAGTGGTCACCTTGTCCTGCTGTTGTGGTCATTGTTAGCAAGCTCTGACCGGGTAGACCAAACTCGTCAAAACAGCCTTTGTTGCCAATACACACTCCACAATAAAAGGCATAGATGCGCTAGAATTCTGATTCAACAACATGCATGCAAATATAATATGTCACCACTTTGCGCGATCACTGGAGGTGGCCATTCACCGTGTCAGGGCATTGCGAAGAGAGAAGTGCCACTCACCAGGATAGACGGGAGGACTGCCATTGCTACCCAGCGACCGCCGCCTGGCATGCTCGTATGGTTGTGGGGGATGCGACATGTCTCGCGACATGGCGTGGGGGGGGGTGGGCGGGGGTGGATGTTGTGGATGTTGTGGATGTTGCGGATGTTGATGACGGTGAGGTTGTTGTTGTTGCGCCGGAGGATGAAGTGCTGTGGGAGAGAAAGCGTATTAAGTCAGCAAATTGCAGTTGGGAAAGCGGCTCTGTAGGAAAGTCACGGGACTAGGCGGCTGGAAATGGGGCCACGATGCGGCTAGAGTGGAAAGGGGAAGGCACCACCGCAACCTTAATGCAGTTAGCGTTTCCTGCTCCAAGGCATCGAAGCAGCCGATCCAGGGTTAGGTAAGGCCAGGCACGGACAGGCCAGGGCATAAATAGGTATACACATTTTGGGCCTTCACCAAGAGACCATTTTTCTCTGTCCCAGGGCGGAGAGGTGGTTGGGTTAGGGGATGCTGCGGCAGGGGATGTTGTGTCCAAGCAGTGTTGTACAGATTATGGGGGCCTGTGTTTTCCCATCACGCGTGGGTTGTGCCCACCTGCACTGGCAAAATCGTCTCTAAGTAGACGCGTCCAGGGAGAATTCTAGATCTACTTGCTGCTGCTCACCAGTGCAATGGCGCAAGGAAATGCTGAAGACAAATGGTCCAAAAGACTGCAGAGTGGGGTTCCACGGGCATATGCTATCACTGGTATTGCCTTGGGCCTTTTGATATCATCATCTCTTACCTTCACGATATATGGTGGTATTTTGCTCCATCACTCTTCTCTCGCCATCTGTTATGCTTGAACTGTGAATCACATGTCTGGAATGGAAAGCTGGCGGGGGCTCAGGATGAAGGGGTGCGAATGGTCCTTGCGATTGTGAGGGTTTTGGATGGGGGACGAGCTCATGATGGAAGGAATGAGGGGGGTGGTAGTCAAGAGACGGAGGATGGGATCTTGGAGGAGCTCGCTGTGAGAGGTCATTTTCTCGTCGACCTAACGGGTCGTAGGCTACATGGGATCTCTCATTTGTTGGCAAAGAGCCAGGGCCGTAAAGGCGAGGTGGTAACGGGTCGTGACTGGGTTCTGGAGGAGCCCCAAATGTTGAGGGATGGGTGAAATGCTGGCGATGTGGGTGTTTAGGGTCCATTATTAGAGTGTCGTCCTGAGCCTGTGTTTACTGATCAGGTTGAAAAATCCTAGGCCTCCAAAGCTAAGCCAGGGCGCCATAAGAACAACACTAACACTTGAACATCGAACGTGATCGTGTGCTGTCGGGTGAGAAAGGGATGGAAAGGAGATCAAGCGAGATAGCGAGCTTTGTCATCAAACTAACGCAAACTGTGCAAGGTGAACAGCTATGGTGAAAAGATGGTTTGACAAGAGGCGACAAGGGATGGAAGGGGAAAAAAATTCAATGAATGGATGATGATGGCTAGCGGCAGATTACTGCTTCTTGACGCTCCACCTCCATTCCACAGCTCCAAGAGCGAAAAAACGGCGGGAACCCTAGCATGCGACAGGGCATCCTCAATTTTCGCGGGCGGTGGGACCAAACAGTAGGTTACCGGCTAACATGTCTAGGCCCATCCCATCCGTGCAGCTCCTGCTATCTATTAGCCAGCCAACAAATATACTAGGGTTTGAGCCTACTTAGGTATGGAGCGAGAAACTGGACTTGGTTCCGAGGGAACGAGTCATAGGCCAGCATTTCCGCATTAATGACTGCGGAGGAAAAAGCAATGAGCGACAAGTGTGCCACCCCAAGCCAAGTGGAGGGATGATAGCGTGAGATGTGATATCTCTAATGCTGGGCCACGGTCGAGGATCTTCTGAGTATGCCCATACTTGGTAAAATATCTGCTCAAACGGGCTCGATAATTAATTTTCATTCAATGGAGAAAGAATAATGAGGAAATCTACGTGGCTGTCCTTTTGCTACATCTGAATTCCAATGCGAACGTCGGGAGTTCACACACGAATGAATGGATCCGACGAACCTACCATTAGTATCCTAGATCCTAATGCTCATCAACGAACTCGTGGCAGAGAGCCGACCTGGTTTTATTTATTTTATTTTATATATATATATATATATATATTTAAAAAGCTCAGTAGCAAAGATGAAGTCGATAGAGTTTCCACCAGGGAGGCTAAGGACAAAGCTTGTGGGTGTCTCGTGCCGTGGATGCAACGCTCCTATAAGTGGTGACACATCACGTCCATGGCACAGAACACACGATACATACCAAAGTAACGCGACCGGACATCAGAGTTAGTTTGCATATTATTGATGTTAAACACCAGCTCGAAAGAATTGAACTTTGGGGGTAACTATTCACCCCCGCATACCTCTTATCTTTACAGTGCTTTTGCCTCGATCGATTTTCATTTTGTGAGAATGCTATGCCAATTATTTTAAGATATCATACACTGTCGGCTTTTGACCTATTTTATATACGTCTTTCAGCACCTCCATTCATGATGCCTAAATGCTCCGCAGATATTAGACTCGCAAATCAAGCATATCAGCCCAGTTAAATCATCATCATGCAACCTTAATCAAAATAAGGTAACCCAAAGCTTGAAATTGTTTAGCCCAAGCACTTCCTCACCTCTCCTCACTTTGCCATTGGATCGAACGTGGAATGTGAAGAACTTGCTCCAGGTGGAATAAACATTGAGGCGTTGGGGTTTCAACAGCTTGGATCCCCAGATTGGATCCCCAGAGAAGACTAAGAGTATCACGAAAATTATATGCTGAGACCCACATGATAGGGGCAAGGAGGATGCAGGTAATATGCCTCTCAATCAACAACCCAGACCCATGAGAGGAATAATAATGTCCCTCAAATTACCCCTTTCTCCTCCTCTGCAACATATTCTCGTTTCAAGGCGCATAGAATCTCACCCGTCCTTGACAACCTCGGTTCGTAAATGAACTCTTAGATGGGCTGAAATATGAGGCTGGAGAGAGCCTCCTCGTCATTGTGCAAGGTTCCCACCAAAGCAACTATCTCGAAATCTCGTTCTCATCTATTTCTTTCTTGATTACATATCACTCCGATATTACGCAAGCAACGACAGCTCCTCAGTCCCTTTGTGCTTCTTTTGCCGTCTCCGCTTATTTATTTGGTAGTTACAGCATGGGTCCGATTCTGACGTGCAACCCAAACGCGAAACAGATAGACAACATCAGCCCTGCATCATCCACCGGCTTTTATTTTCTCATTTCAGGAGGCAAACTTTTAGACTTGATACAGGGGAAATATATGTCTGGTTCCTGAAAATTTCCATAATCCTTCTCCTGCCAAAGTTGTGAACTTGTACGTTCCACTCGATCTCTTAATACAGGCCCTCTCCAATGAAGGGGCTGGTGTTTGTCATTGAAAAACGTCAAGACAGACATGGCCAAACAATCAATCCTAAGAAAACATCCACACTGAAAACCGACAGGTGCAAAGAGAGGAACAGAAAGACAAGGAAAATGCAACCCTGTTTGCATCGGGATGTGGTCACGGTTGGTCAGTGCGCATTGTTCAAGTTGCACTGTTCAAGACGAAATTGACACTGCATCACCGTGATCCCCAAGTTGGTCTCTATGTACAGTACATGCATACATATATACACGTTAGATGTATTGTTTCTTGTATCCTCTTTGCCTGGTAGGGCACGATCTCTCATTTTACATTTTCCCTGCGTGTCTCCCGCTTCGCGGGGTCATACCCCGCCTGATTCTGGATGGCATGTTCTTCTACGCAGCAAGGTCCAGTGGATGGATAACTAGTGTGACAATGAGAGTCATTCCCTGGGATGTTTGCTCTGCTTCTGGAAGAACCAGGGGAGTGTTAACGTACACGCACATATATGTTGAAGTGCAGAACACACATTGGCTCTATCGATTTTCTTCAGCCAGGAGTGATTGTCACTTTTTTTAATTTTATCTTTCATACACATTCCAACCACCGACGTATCATCAAATCGTACATACCTCTATGTAAACTGATATCACACTCTTGTATCACAAAAACCATCTGCCTAAGCGCGGCGTAACTATATTCTTTCATGACATTGGGAGTACTTCGCTCTGCATGCACCCTCTTCCATAGAAATTCTCCCTACGATCCCTTCTTTTTTATCCTTTCTTGATGATTTTTGGACCCTGTGTAACTACAACGCCCACGTATGTACAATATACCTATCTATATCCAAGTAGGTAGACACGAAGAACGGGCACTTCTTAGTCCGTATGTGCTTTTGAATTCTTAAATCTACTCTGCAAAGGTGGTGATACTTTTTTCCTGGACATACCCATAAAATATTTAAGACAAGAGAGAACAAAGCTTGAATTCATTCGTTGTTGACGCAGCCCTATGTTTATCAAGGCGGCGGGTGATGGAAAACTGTAGGTGGGTAGTGCCAGATGTCTTTGTGTATGTGTGTACATTGCATACGTGTAGCTGATGGACGTACGTTTGGCCGAGTAGCAAGATGTATTAAGCTTTGAGACATGGCGATTGGTGTCTGTAGTTGGGATTGGGGTTTAGCGGTGTTTGCATATACTTGGGATTGCATTTCGGGTTGGAGTGGAGCTTCATTGTATGTAAGTAGATGCTGTGCTGTCCACATAAACGGGGGATTTTCTTTGAATTTTGTCATAGTATAAAATCAAGTTCTTGCTTCAGAGCATGAGGTGTCTCAGACATAATAGGTATGCACAGTACAGACGCTGTACCTGTAAGGTTACTAAGTAATCTTGGGAGGTATATCTGCTAACGAATGTTTTGGTAAAATACATTCCTGGCTCTGGATGTCAGGATTGTTCATGATAAAATAAAGCTGACTTGTTTTCCAAGCATCCCTACATCAATATGAACATCAACGAAAAGCCATATGAGATTCCCGTTTCGTGCATCAAACAGGTCGTCACCTGGCAGGAAATTCCGCCAGAGGGCCAGAAGTTGCTCCATCCGCTCGGTTCACGAAAGAAAATTTTCAAATCGAGAGGGAAGCATACTTGAATCACGGCGTTTTGCAATGCCTTTGAGCCGATTTTGAAGGCCAACTTTGAGAACAATAAAAAAAAAATTTTGAGTGAACGGCGAAGGTAGGGACAGGCAGAGAATAGGATGACATGACCGTCACATCACGCCAAAACGTGTATTTGTTATATAGTGGCTTATGCCCCTTAATTACCTAGATAGGTAGCCTGGCAGATTGCCACGTTAAGCAATATTCAGGTATCTCATGCCATCTTTTCATATGATCCCGGGCATATATGCTCAATGGCTGCGGGGATATCACACCTATAAACTTGAGGCCCATTGACTGTTTCAAGTCTAATGCGTGTACCTAAGTGCGCAATAACATATCCATTTGTCCCAGGAGGTCTTTGGGCCTGAAATAGTCAGAGTGAGTGTTGTTCCATAGAGATAATTTTGGCAGTGCTGTTTGGAATTATGTAAGTTGTGAAGGGGCGGCTTCCAAGGCTATTGGACGGCTGACAGGACGGATTAGCAATTGTACATTGATGGCCAATACTCATGTCTCAAATACAAAATGCTGGTCCAGAGACCGTCGTACGATATTGAGGGTGGTATCGTTTCGTTAAGAATTCGAAGTTGTGGTTGGAAGTTTTCAAGATTTTAGGTAACTGTTTGTTTGCAGGTTTATCACGTGGCATGAGAGAGGTTGAGCAAACCTCCGCGGTACTCAAACAGCTTCAAACCTCTGACAGGTATCTTCTGGCTCACTTGCGATGAAACTGGCCATCCACATCCTGTATATATACCATACCAACTAGCTAGAAGTTATGAGACGAACCCCCCGGGTGCCTGTGTAGAGTTCAAATAACTCCCCTTCTCAAATACTTTCGCGGTTAAACTAACCTAACGCCCTGATCATAAGCCCGAAGCTCTCCCAATCTTCCGCTCCAATCACCGTACAGGAAGATATCTGTGACCCATGTTCCACCTAACTTGATGAAAACCCAAGGATCCCAACCTTATCTCACCCATCTAATGCCTGACTCGGACTTGAACCGCTTTCATCCCTCCACCCCAATGCTCCCCCTACCAGGTTCCCCCTCCTTCTCCTGGGCCACCTTCCGCGGACGATTTCAAGCCCTCTTCAACGGTGCGGATCTACGAGTATGCGCCGCCTTCTGGCTTTTCGGTGAGCTATTATACCAAGAGCTCTGTCGGGTTAAAACGCCCCCCTAAAAACCCCCCCCAAAAGACAAACAGCCCTTAACAAACCCCTACAAAACAGGTCTAATAAACAATGTCCTCTACGTAATAATCCTCTCCGCAGCCCTCGACCTAGTCGGCCCCTCAATCCCCAAATCCGTCGTGCTCCTCGCCGACGTCGTCCCCTCCTTCATCGTAAAGCTATGTGCTCCCTACTTCATCCACGCAATCCCTTACCCAATCCGCGTCCTGATATTTGTCACCCTATCAGCATCCGGCATGCTCCTTATAGCCATCTCGCCATCCTACATACCAACCTCCACCCCCGCCAAACCCGTCTCAGCCTCCTCCTTCACCTCCGTCTTCAGTCCCGCAAATCCCATCTCAACCAAAATGCTCGGCGTAATACTCGCCAGCCTGTCCAGCGGTGGCGGCGAGCTAAGCTTCCTGGGCCTAACGCACTATTACGGGCCTTTCGGTCTTGCGGCGTGGGGGAGCGGGACGGGTGCAGCGGGCCTTATTGGGGCGGGGGCGTATGCGCTGGCGACGACGACGTTTGGGTTTAGTGTGAAGGTTACGTTGTTGTTTTCGGCGGGGTTGCCGTTAGTGATGCTTGTGAGCTTTTTTATGGTGCTGCCGTTGGCGCCGTTGAAATCTGCGGTTAAGAAGAGTGGGGGATATAGGGTTATTGACGAGGATGAGGGGGAGGGGGATGTGGATAGTGTTTTGGGGAGGGGGCACAGGAGCAGGGGGATGGATGATGGACATGTGGGTGGTGTGAGTGAGAGGGAGGGGTTTATGGGGAGGGATTCAGAAGTTGTAAGGGCGGAAGAGGGTAAAGTTGTTAATGGGGGAAGGGGGGATATATCTTGGATGCAGTTCAAGGCAAATTTGAAGAGGGCGAAGGGGCTATTCTTTCCATTGTAAGTCTATTAATTCTATCACGGCAAAATGCTGCATATCTGACTAATCTACACAGCATGCTCCCCCTCCTCCTCGTCTACATAGCCGAATACACCATAAACCAAGGCGTTTCTCCAACCCTGCTCTTCCCACTCTCCTCAACACCCTTCAGCCACTTCCGTGCCTTCTACCCAGCCTACAACGCCATTTATCAAACGGGCGTCTTCATCTCCCGCTCCTCAACCCCCTTCTTCCGCATCCACGACCTCTACCTCCCCTCCTTCCTGCAAGTGATCAACCTAGTCGTTCTCGTGGCGCATGCGCTCTTCAACTTCCTGCCTAATGTGTATGTGGTATTTTTGATCGTGTTTTGGGAAGGGTTGTTGGGTGGCCTTGTGTATGTGAATACGTTTGCGGAGATCACGGAGAAGGTTCCGAAGGAAGAGAGGGAGTTTTCGCTGGGGGCGACGACGGTGAGTGATTCCGGGGGGATTTGTGTGGCGGGGTTTTTGGGGATGGCTGTTGAGGTTTGGCTGTGTGATTGGCAGGTGAGGAGGGGTAGGGGTTATTGCAGGCAGTTATAGGGTGGGAGATGGGAGGGAGAGCTAGTCCATCCATGTCGCGTGTGCCCTTTCTCACTCTCACACGTCGTACCCCATTTATCCTATACATCTCTGATTCCCATCTTGGCGCAGAGGATGTTATATTCATTTTCTTGTTCCTGTTGTTTTTGATTTTGTTTTATGTTACATTCAGCTGGCGGTCATCTGTGAGCGTATGTATGCATATATGTCTTCTTCTGTGTTCCAGGGCATCCAAATGGCGATTTTATTTCGAAGGGGTTATTGTACGTCTGTTTATGTTCCCATACCGCACCTGTACATGTACCAGAATATCCTTAGCCTAATTATCCATCCCTCATATAGTTATCAATACCATCACCTGAGCATGTTCCTGACCCGATCCAATCCCGTCCGTGTGCCTTTGGCACCAACACAGGAACAGTGCAGTCCAATGCCGCTTGATCCAACCCTCCTTTCCCAAATACATGACATACAAGAAGAAAAAAACAGTCACAAGCTCCCACCTATTGCTTTCACTACTGGTGGATATACGCGACAACTCAAGGGGGCTGCCGCCTTCTGATCAGGTGGAAGAACACCGCAGTACAGCGCGATACAGGCCCGTATTGAAACCGCCACTCCATAACCCACGTGACCCATTCTTCAATACCCATACGCGCACTGTAATTTATCACATGCTCACGAAGCTACGAACTGCGACCTTGATCACATGCTTTCTCCTTGCCCGCAGGCGAATGAAGGTGTTTTACGTCTCGAAAGGAAAAAAGCGACAGATAACTACAGTTTGGATGATGCGTTGATAGATGCTGATAGTTAACTAAACCCCGCTGCCTTCTTCTCTTCTCTTTTAACTGCCCATCCATTTTGATTGCCCTTGAGTTGTAACTAACTATCTACCCTTGGTGCGTCGGTGACACGCACTTATGCATTTACATTCCCAGCGACAATACATCGATACTCCGGGGGTTCTGCTGCCAACTTCGGCCTCCCTGCGTCCTGTTATACTTCCCTATCGTGCTGCTGCTTGCGCTGCTCGATATCTGCCAGCTGGTTATTTCTCTCCTTTGTCTCCCGTGCTCCACATCTCCCCGGTCCTATAACAGCAGCAGAGCACGTTCTGTGTTAAGCAAGTCACAGCTGTGATCATAAGCAACACCAGCTCCACGGGCAGGGCAGTATAGACGGGATAAGGGCAACTTCAGCCTTAGGAGGAGGACGAGAAGGCGGAGGAGAGGATCTGGCATCGCGAGATCATACTGGCAATTGAGTTCGGTTGGCTAAGATAAAAAAAAATTTTTTTTTTAGTAACTTTGCTTATTGAAAAAGAGGGCCGGCTTGCTGTATGTAGTTAGAGTTCTTGATTTCTTTGTTTGATTTTCCTGCTTGACGGAGTTATAACAGCAAAAAATAGAGGGGATACGCACAAACCTATATCTACGGATACAACCCAGACTGCATGAATCGCGCTGCCGCACGAGGGGATTCAAAGGCTGGTAAAAATGATAGGTATGACAGCTGTTTTCGGTGATTTTCTGCATTAGCATTTGTTTGTCCTGTCTCACGGAAAGGCCATTGGCTGATATTATACAATTAATATAGATCACGTCCTGGGAAGACCGTCTACGCAGTTTCGCAAGATACAGGTTTTTGCAGTGGTGTCGTTTTGGTTACTCTATCTCCTCCGGTGCGTGCTTCCATATAACGAACTGATATACACACTATCATTCCGTCGTCTTCCTGACCCCAAAATCCAAATAAATTAACGGGTGTTTTCACAGAGGTAATAACCATGGACCACCTGGTATCCGCCTCCTATCCTCCCGCCTGTACAGGCGCCTCACCCCTTGGCAGGCGACCGTCATGACCTTCCTAGGCCTCTACCTATCCCGCAACTTCGCCAAGTTAGTCGGCCTCGAATCCCCTGAGCCCCTAGCAAACCTATACTCCCGCTCCTACTTCCGAGCTACATGGGTTACTACTGCACTGGACGCGGGCTTCTGGACAGCCATGAATATCAAGCGCAAGTGGCTCCGTGACATCGCATCTGTCGTCTTCTCGATATACTATCTGATCGCGGCGGAGCATGCGGATGAGAAAGTAAGAAAGGTACGGGCTGTGTTGACCGTGGAGCATCTGCGCGTATCCTGGAATAAAGGTACGACGCCATATCTGTCGTTTCTGTCAAAGTTGATGAGGCCGCGGGTATGCGACTATTCTCCGATTCAGATACGGATTCCCAGGCCCAGGGAGTCTGCGTATACGGAGCCGTGTGTTGCCTGGTTGTATTACAATGGCCCCCTCAGCACTTTGAAGGATCAGACAAATGTGGTCCTCGATATACCCGGTGGAGGGTTTGTGGCCATGTCGCCGCGGACAAGCGATGATAAGCTCCTGGCCTGGGCGGGTAAGACGGGTGTGCCGATTCTCAGTCTGGATTACAAAAAGGCACCCGAACATCCGTATCCGTATGCGCTGAATGAGTGCTATGACGTCTACCATACTATCGTCAGTAGTCGCGGGCGTTGTCTGGGGCTAAGTGGTAAAGTGCGGCCTAACATTGTTATTACGGGCGACAGTGCTGGCGGGAATCTAGCCGCAGGTGTCACGTTGATGATACTGCAGTCTGGGAGTGCGGACCTGACGCGAAAGTTGAAGGGGAAGGGAGAAGGAGACTACTTTCTCCCCCCTCCAGCTGGGCTGGTGCTGATTTACCCGGCACTGGACATGAACATCGGTAGCTGGATGACGGATGAGGAAATGTCCTTGATTCGCGAGCGGGGTATGCGCAAGACGAACCGCAATGTCCTTCGGAGGAAGAGTGAGGAATACATGAGATTAACACCCGCCGCGTCCTACCTCTCAACTGCCGACGCCAACGCCAACGCCAACGCCAACGCCTGCGACGATTCCTCAGATCGCCACCCAGTCGTCCACGACTATTTCGCCCAACAACACGCCGGCATCATACATGAGGAACACCCTCCATCCTTGAACATCGAAAACATCGACACGCCCGTCCCTGGAAACACTGCCTCCCACCTCATAACCACCATGACAACCTCCGCCCAGCAAAACCCCAAGCAAATAAAAACACGACTCGCAGTCTCCTCTATAATCTCCTACTTCAACGATCGCATCCTGACACCGGAAATGATGCGCGCCATGATAATCCTCTACATAGGCCCATACAACCGTCCGGACTTTAGCACAGACTACCTCCTCTCCCCCCTGCTGGCTCCCGAATCCCTGCTCTCCAGATTCCCCAAAACATATTTTTTAACAGGGGAGCGGGATCCGTTGGTTGATGATACGGTTATATTTGCGGGGAGGATCAGGAGGGCGAAAATGCATGCATGGCGGGAACGGGCGGACTTGGGGCTTGAAAGGGTGGCTAGGGATCGGGATCGGAATGGGGATGGGGATGAGTCGGGGTTTAATGAGAGGAAGTGGGTGGAGGTTACCTTGATTCCAGGGATTTCTCATGGGTTTCTGCAATTCGCCGGGGTGTTTCCGGAGGCGTGGAGGGAGATATCTAGGGGGGCTGGGTGGATACGGGAGTTGTTTGAGAGGGCGGGTGGGGCGGGGAGGAATGGGGTGACAGTAGAGGGCGTAAGGGGGGGTTCTTCGATGATGGCGAACGAGATACGTGGTGGTAAATTTGGGACTAGAGCTCCTAGGAGCAGTCAAGAAGAGAAGAATGTACCGTCATGCCATCACCCGCGAAGACTCACGGGGGAATCATCTGGGGAGGAAGACAAGCCGTTGGAAATGAGCATGTTAAGAATGACGAAGAAGAGGAATACGGCTTCGTCGCCATCAACGTCTACCTTTCGATCGACGATGTTGCAGGAAAACGGTACCGCGACCAAGATAGCCGCAGGCTCTTCGACTGCTACCCTACGACCATCTGACGTTGTACCCACGACAGGGACAACGCCTCCTGTCGAAGAAGGACAGACACCCTGTGCCGTTAAGAGCCAATCCCCCACTGGAAGCGGCAGCGTGAACGGCGACAGGAACTTCTCCGCCAATCATGGCCAGACACTGGAAAAACAAAATGGCATCCACGAAGACGAGGAGGACGATGACAAGCAAAACACCCCGCCCTGGCGCAAGAATGTGATGATGAAAATTTCCCTGCAGCGCGAGAAGAGTTTGACGAGTTTGCCTAGTGAGGAGGATTTGTTGGGGAGGCGGATGGAGGGGTTGGCCGGGGGCTTGATGGGGATTGGAGAGGGGGCGCGAACACCGTAGAATTTTTTTTTTTTTCTTCTTTCTTCTTCTTCTTCTTCTTCATGGATGGATGGATGCGTGTAAATTCAGAGTTATCGCCCTTTCTGTTTTGCAGGTTTTGAGGGTTTGCTTTGTTGCATGGCGGGGTTTCTTTTCTCCTTTTTAGCATGTTATGATGTACGATGTGGGTGGGTAACTAACTAGCTAGGTGGATGGTTATCGTTTTAAGTATATATTAGTTACTGGGTGCAGTATGTACATCTATATATATTAGCGATGCATTGAGATAATCAATATGTACCATGTGCATACGCGCTATTTCGACACGAGAGATGAGATTAATGTATTATCTTCATCAGTGAATGTCACGAGAAATGCTAGTGATGATTCGTTCTCCCGTTCCATGGCCTGCTTCTTGGAGTCGTCCGTCATGCACCAGGCCTTTTTTTTTTTTCACTGTTTGATCGGAGGGTTGGGTCAGGCACGACGGGCCAAGGACGCAGAAAAGGCGGGCATTTGCTAGATATATAGAGGAAAAAGACTTGTGTGCATGATGGATACTGTGCAAACAGTGCGGAATTGAACTGTAGGCGTGGATTTTGACTTTTTGATCAATTGGAATGAAATAAATTGTATAGGGGGAATTACCTAGGTAGGCTCGATATTTGATGAGTTAGGGGTTGGTTGTTCATTTGAGGGGTTGAGGTTCAAATGCAGAAACAAAAGGCTAATATTAATTGAGTATGCCTGTCTATTGTTTTCTCTCCCGAGATGCGCTATTCTTGATCCATAAGCCCGAAAAGAAAAAAAAAAAAATAACCAATCAAGTGATCATGGAACTATAAAATCATGTATAAACCCTCACCTGGAGAAGGCTAAACTTGTTAGATCAAGCGACCTCAGAAAATGCCGCTTCCATCGCCTCTCCCAAAATCCCCAACCCTTCGCTAATCTCATCATCATTGATGATCAACGGGGGCACAAACCTCAAACACCCCTCCCCAGCCGTAATAATCAGCAAGCCCCTGTGTCTCGCCTCAGTGACAACATCCCCTATAAGCCCCTGATACGGCTCCGCAAGCTGCAAGCCCATAATCAACCCACGCCCACGAATATCCGCCACCGCATCCGGGAATCTCTTCCGCAACTGCTCAAGTCCGGACCTGAAGGCCACAGACCGCGAGCGCACGGAGGACTGCAAGGCGCCAGACGCAAGGCGGGTAAGCACATGCTGCGCCACACGACAGGCCAGCGGGTTCCCGCCAAACGTCGTCCCGTGGTCGCCCGTCTTTATGAACTGCCCGACTCCGTCGGAGATGATGGTGGCACCGATGGGCATGCCGTTGCCCAGCGCCTTGGCGGTGGTGAGGATATCCGGGTGCGCGGGGAGGGAGTGGGCGTCCTTTGGTTCCAGGGCTGGGTTGGCGTGGGCCCACAGGGAGCCGGTGCGCGACAGGCCGCATTGAATCTCGTCGAAGATGAGGACGGCGCCGACATCGTCGCAGCGGGTGCGCAGGGCGCTGAGGAATTCGGGCGTGGCGCTGTGCACGCCTCCTTCCCCCTGGATGGGTTCGACGATGACGCCACACGTTTTCGAGGTGATGAGGGAGGGTAGTTGGGCGACGTCGTTATATGTGCCGTACTTGAAGCCGGGGACCATAGGGGCGAAAGGGGCCTGGTATTTTGGGTTTGGGGTTGCGGAGAGGGCGCCGAAGGTGCGGCCGTGGAAGGAGTGATAGAAGGAGACGAATTCGTATTTGGACCCGGAGGCATCGAGGCTGTGGCCCACTTTTCTGGCGAATTTTATGGCGGCTTCGTTGGCTTCTGTGCCGGAGTTGCAGATGAAGGCTTGCGAGGCCGTGCGCATTGCGCCGGAATCTAGGGTGTAAGTCACCAGTAGCTGGCTGAGTGCACCGGTCCATTTATTGTGATAGAGATTCGAAGCGTGCATTAAAATTCTGGACTGTATGAATAAGTTAATTCCTCCATTCCCTCTCCATGGCCTTATGAGGACAATCATTTGGGAGGTATTCACCTGTCGTGATATGATTTCGGCAATTCCGGGGTCGGAATGGCCGAGGGAAGTGACGGCGATGCCAGCTGTGAAATCTAGATATTTTCGCTGCTCCATGTCCCATAGATAGCACCCTCTGCCCGAATACATTACGGGAGGTGGTCGCACGTAAGTTGGTACCATGAAGGGGGCCTGCTGGCCCACGAGCTGCCCTGAAAGCGAATCAGGCGTGGGATCCTTATGGGAGGGAGTCCGTTCTACACCCTACCAGCTGTTCGTTAACCCAATGGCGCTTAGGATAGAAAGAAATACGAACACGAATAAGAGTAAGAGTATCTATATATAATTACAGATATGCATACCTGGACTCTCTCAGCCCCTGACTTTGTCGAAACACATCTCAATTGTCGACGTGAGTCAGACTCCGCGAAGAATCTCGCTGAACGAACACAATGCGCAATTCGCCTGGTTGCCGTACCGAAAGCCATTGCCCGGGATATGAGTCAGGCGACTCAGGATACCACACACCAATGGCAATCCTAAGCCGGCTTGAATAACAGGTCAAATAGCAATGGTCGATATTTGCGGGAGAGGAGAGGAGGGGAGATGTCAATTCATATTGTTGTGATCTCAGTTAAAACTCTCTCCTGGGAAGGTTTCAATCAAGATGCGGAGTTACCCTGATCTTGGCGTGTTTGCATCTCGTGTGTGCTACAGGGTTGGTTTGCTTCTCCCCCCAAACTTTGCTGAACTTGAGTTGAAAGATCCTTCACAAACATCCATCCATCAGTGAAGAATATCGCCTGATGTTCTTGTCACACGCCTCAGTGGCTGAAGCCAAGTAGCATGTTTTTTTGTCTCGTCGATTGCAAGCACAGGTCTAGTGCCGAATGGTCTTTGCATGTTAATCCTACGATCTGATTGACAGGGACGTACGTTGGCCGCTATGGAAAGCCTGTACGATAGTTAACGTGCACACCCATGAGTTTTTTCGAAGGGCCAATCGCCGGACACCGTTTGGGAATCATATGAGGAGCAACAAAACGTCGTGTCACCGGTCAGTTGAAAGGAAATGTCTCTATGACACTTTCAGAGGATGACGTATGAGTTCTACAACGCCCTAGTGGAATAAAGATGATACTCTCATATTTTGGCAGATTCCGCAGCGCTTTTAGCCGAAGGAGTAAACCTTTAGCTTCTCTTGGTGGGCGTTCTCCCCAATATGATTCCAGAGCTTTTTGGCGTACTTCCATGCCTTTATCCTTGTAATCCCGCATGATGCTCCTGCACAATGTCCTGATAGAAAGGTATTTCTTCAACAAACAGCAAGATCAGCCAGCAGTATGGCTATTCATGCAGGCCAGGCCAGGCCAGGCCAGGCCTCAGCCTCGCTTTCAATTGATATGAACCCCCAACTTTTCTCGTCTGATATGATCTGTTAGTCTAATGGCGTGGTGGATTAATTAATTAATCACTTTGGGTATATAGTTATGCCGTGAGAGATGAATGTGGCTTTCATGGCGAAGGTTTCAGTCCCCTCTCTCATTGTCACGATTGCTTTGGACAGGCACCAATTGTCGCCATGGATACGGCTAACGTGGATCACGTTTGCAGGAGAGTCATTGCATCTGCAATGTATTTGCTAGCCTGCTATCTCTCTGCCGGCGTCGGGAATGTCGTTTGTGCCTTCGACTTGAGCAGATCAGAGAATCAGCTTCCGCCGCGACATGTCGGGTAGCCATAGCAGTCTATCGCGTGACCCAAAGGAACCATTTATTTACGGTGTATGGGATTTTCGTTCAAATGGCCATTTCAAAGTTGACATGCTTCCTAAACTTCTTCCCTTTGATTGGAGATTACTTGTTCAGGTTATTAACTATCATCGTCTTGATCAAGCATTTTCTAGGATCACTCTTGCGTTCACTCAGATCACTATTTTCTAGACTTAATAGTATATTGTAAGGTTAGAACTTGCTAAATCTAGTATTCACTGGATTCATTATTTTTCTACATTCCTCCGTAAATAGTTAAGAGTGTTTGAGGGCGCAGAGGGGGTCCTTGGGCTGGCGGTTATGGCATTGAAAGATCTTTAATCTTATCTGATCGGATCAAAGATGTTCCAAAGAACAACCTCGGATCGATCTTCTTTTAACGTCTCCGGCTTCCGCAACGAAAGCATTTTTCTCTTTGCTTTTTCTTCAAGTTAGCCGTTTGTTGTTATATATATATCACGATTATAACTATATATTCCTACTTTGAAAGTAACCTGGCACAGACTCATTCGCAATGGAATTCCCTGTTGCCCTCCGCCCCCTCCTGCAAACCCGCATCGCTCTCCGACACATCTCCTGCTCTATCCATCCCTCTCGAACCTTCTCATCTGACCCACTACCAAACAGCAACGGTGCTCGCGACCAATTCGGAAACGGTCCTTCACCACCTCGTCTTCCCAAGGAAGAGCAAGAAATCTTCGAAAACCTCCAAAAACAATCAACTGGCGCATTTAGCACTCCCCGCTCGCCGCCAAATATCAACCAGTCTCCCCAATCATCAGAATCCTCCTCCTCCCCGACAACAGGCAACTTCCAATTTGAAGCGACTGGATCAGGTGAGGAATTACACCCTGATATCTACCGTGGTGCGAAGCCGGAGTTTGAAGGAGACACGAACCCCAAGACGGGTGAGGTTGGGGGTCCGAAGAATGAGCCGTTGCGATGGGGTGCGCGGGGAGATTGGAGTTTTAATGGGAGGGTGACGGATTTCTGAAATTACAGAACGCGATACATTCGTGGGCTAACATTGCTGGAGAGATGGGGGTAAAAAAGAGCCAGCCCATTCTCCTTACATGACCTGCATTGGAAAAGGCAGTATTTCGAAGATGGTGGTAACGTTATTGACTTCCAGAATGGCTTGAACGATTTCAACCTACATCTTTCATCTCGTGACCAGGGAGACCAAACGATGGAACTGACGGATTTTTAATCTTCACTGTGAGGTTCACAAACCATAAAATGGGACGTTGCACACTGGAGTTACGAAGGGCGAGGCTGCAATGACGCCAAGCTGAAATCGTTTCTAGTTTGAGATGCGTCTATCCTCGTAGCTAGGACAAAAAGCCTCGCTTCTCTGTTGTGCTCAAATCAGGACCGCGCAAACTCACTCTCTGCCCTGATTTCTTGGCATATCTCTCCTTTCGCATACGATTACAATAGGAATTACCGGTGATGTTAAAACAAGGCGGAAACTGCTAGGAGCATTCATTTGATATCCAAAACAGCATATAGAATAGAAGAACTCTTTTGTCTCTTTTTCTGTTGACTGTATTTATTATTATTCCTGTTATATAACAAATTCTGTGCAATTATATTAATAGCAACCAATCACAAAACTTTCTCAGCGGGATCTATTCTGGTTTGAGATAAGGAACAGGGATACAATTGCTATGCAACTTTATATTTACAATATGGGAAAATGCCAAGGGAGATGAAACAAAAGAAAAGCGGCAAAGAAATACCGCTTCATGCTCATACAGCTGTATAATCCACAAAGCTTCAGGGCAGCATAAAGAAGGATTCTCCAGCGTTCAGGGGTCAACCAAACTGAATGATGGCAGCAGACTTGAATATTTCAATAATTGGTAATGGTGAAATTAGCGGAGGTGTATAAATTTCCTTAGTAAGGATATTTTGGTCTATCCAGGTTTTTCCCAATCGGCCTTTCCGACCACGGCTGCTGGAGGAGTATACACACCATGAAGATCGAGGGCAAATGCAAAATTAGATAGATATGCATCAGCCCTGAAGTCGAGCAACAGTAGCCTTGCCTGCTCTGCTATCGTTCGCCCTGCCTAATTCTTTGCTAATCCAGGCCCCGATCCTCGAAACTTCCTCCAGATTGACACCTGTCCGCATCCCCAGGCTGTGAACGGTGTGAATAAGATCTTCCGTGGAAACATTTCCAGTAGCGCCTTTAGAGTAAGGACAGCCACCAAGTCCTCCGACGCTACTGTCAAAGATTCGGATACCATGTTCCAACCCAACGATCGTGTTGACGAGCGCTTGCCCGTATGTGTCATGGAAGTGAAGAGCCAGGTCATTGTTGGCGATCCCTGCAGCGGTAAGAGTTTGTAGCAGTTTCAGCGTTCGAGGCGCAGTTCCCATTCCCGTCGTATCGGCGACTGAAACTTCGTCCGCACCCATCTCAAGCAAGGTAGCTGTTATTTCCGCAACCTTGTGTGGACAGACCTCCGGACCTTCATATGGGCACCCAAGGGCAACAGATACGTATCCACGGACACGGATGTTTTTCTCTTTGGCAAGTGCCACTATGGGTTGGATGCGCTCGAGGGACTCCTGAATGGTACAATTTGTGTTGGCTTTTGAAAAGGCTTCGGTTGCAGCGGCAAAGAGCGATATTTCGGTGGTGGCCTTTGGAGGAGAATGGGGACTTGAAGCTTCGGACGCGGGAGGACTGTCAGCCTCCATTATTTTAACTAGGTTTTGGAGTCCCTTGACATTGGGGACTAGGTAGTTATATGCGATTGAGTGAGTGGCCTTGGGAGGAGTTTTGAGGAGGTATGATAGGATTTCCGCTGTGCTGGCCATCTACAAATCGATCAGTGAGGTGTTAGTAACTACTCCGTACACCGAATACCGATTGGAACGAAAAAGGAGCGTGGCGACACAACATGCAGCCATTAACGGGTTAAGGTATGGGGGAGTTGAGAGGAACTACAAACCTGTGGCACCCACTTTTCCGGAACAAACGACCCAGCCTCGATAGTAGTCAGTCCCGTCTTCGCTAGTCTTTCAATGAGTTCTATCTTTGTGCTTAGAGGAATTGATTTCTTTTCATTCTGTAGCCCATCTCGGGGGCCGACTTCAACGATTCGAACATGGTCCCCCGCGAAGCTGGTTTCTGTGGAAAAGAGACGGGTTGGCCGTTGGTGCCGGAGGACTTGCCAGAGCCTGGAAGTAGTTCTAGTGGAGGTAAACATTGTTTTAATATTGTACAGTTAACGGATGAATTGATGTTGTCCCTTTCAAACTGTTTGCTCCTCCGTCGTGTTGCCGCTGGGAAGAATCAACAGGCGAAAAGTGGAGCGGGACAACAGCCAAGGCACGTGACCAGTGAGTGCGGAGAAACTGCGGAGTGATACTGACAGCCAATCAGAGAGTTTGAATCTTTACCGCATGCATCTTGGGCGATATTCTGCCGCCGCTAGTCCTGTTTGAGACACGGGCGTTATGTCATCATCATTTGTGCCCCGCCATAAAAATTATCTCGACGATTGATAATTTTTTATATGGGTCACATATAAATTGGATTTTAGATTTCGGCAAAATTATTTCATCCTGCTATGTGGATGCGTATATAATATTTGTACTGGTCCTTATCGACTTGAATATTGTCCTTTTCACATTATGGCGGATAATACAACCCTGCTGGTTGACAGCCCGCCGCTCCCTTCCATCCCCAATAAGCCGCCAAATCAATCCCGCCAGCCAAAGAAGAGGTTTGTGGGCCGTAAGACCGCGGATGCCCAGGCACATATTGGGAGGGATGGAGATTCTCAGACTCCGCATACAACTTCCGTCCAGCAGGGTATGTCCTGTTCTAAATATTTTCTGTAAAGGCAACTCTCCGCTAACACCATCCGTAGCTCGTCCCCGAAGAGCTCCTCGAGCCCTGAATCAGGTCCCAATCGAAATATTAGAAGACGAGGATATCAAAGCTGCCATCTCCCTTCTCCCAAAAAATTACTCCTTCGAAATTTCAAAAACCATACATCGAATACGAACGTCCGGCGCAAAACGAGTAGCTTTGCAATTTCCCGAAGGCCTCCTCCTCTTCGCAACCACGATATCCGACATCCTTACCCAATTCTGTCCGGGAATAGAAACTCTAATTATGGGCGACGTCACATACGGTGCATGCTGTATAGACGACTACACCGCCCGCGCGCTAGGCTGTGACCTCCTCGTTCATTATGCTCACAGCTGCCTCATTCCCGTCGACGTCACAACCATCAAGACCCTCTACATCTTTGTCAACATTAGTATCGACACACAGCACCTCATCGCCACACTACAACGGAATTTCCCAGCCGGTAAAACAATTGCAGTCGTCGGCACAATCCAGTTCAACGCAACCCTACACGGGCTCAAACCCATCCTCGAACGTGCCGGTTACACCATCCTCATCCCTCAAATCACCCCGCTCAGCAAAGGCGAGATCCTAGGCTGCACCTCTCCCAAACTACCCCTGGACAAAGTCGACATCCTCCTCTACCTAGGCGACGGCCGCTTCCACCTTGAATCCGCCATGATACAAAACCCTACAGTTCCCGCCTACCGCTACGACCCGTACTCACGGACCCTGACACGCGAATCATACAATCACGACGAAATGCTCACACTCCGCCGCGACGCGATCTCCGCCGCCAGAACAGCGAGGAAATGGGGCATCATCCTCGGCTCCCTCGGTAGGCAGGGGAATCCGCATACCATGGCCATGATCGAAAAGCTGCTCAACGACCGTGGCATCCCCTTTGTCAATTTCCTTCTTAGCGAGATTTTTCCTGGAAAACTAGCCACGATGCCGGATGTTGAGTGCTGGGTGCAGATTGCTTGTCCGCGATTGAGTATTGATTGGGGCTATGCTTTTCCGCGGCCGTTGCTGACGCCGTATGAAGCGCTTGTGGCGCTGGGCGCGAGACAGGGTTGGGATGAGGGGAATGATGGGGTGTATCCGATGGACTTTTATGCGAAAGAGGGGTTAGGGCGCACGAGGGCGGAGGGAGCGGTGAAGGCTGCAGCTTGATGGGGAGGGTGAGTGTGATGTCCCGGTTCACTGATTCACTTGACTATGTGTAACAGTCAGGGGTCAAAGCTATGATAATGATATATGATCTATATTTTTGGGGAGGACTATCTTGATTGGAGATTTTATACGTGGCGGATAATTGATCATGTACACGGGGAAAAATCAGGATCGTTTCAGATAACAAAATAACAGCAGGGTACCTTCATGGTCATGCCTTTTTCCCATATATTATTAATCATGCAACGTTAACAAACTCAAGCTCTAAACACACAATCCCAACAGGCGATTCCCAAATGGATCCCCGACGACAATTCCCGTCTGCTGCTCATACTCTCAGAACCCCAAAAATCGAAAAACCAATTCATGCATCATAATCACTTCACTTCATCCGCACTGTCCATGTTAATATCGCTCGCACTCCCCCTTCGCAGAGAGAGCATGCTCTTACCCCCCATATCATCAACAGCCCTCTCAGCTGCTCGCCATCTCGACACTGCCTTCTCAACATCGTCATACATCTCCAGCGTATCATTAATGATCCCCCCCTCCTCAAAGTCTGAAGAATCCTGCGTCCCCTCCCTTGAAACCGAATCGCTCTGCATCGGGAACGACGGGCCAAACGCTCTGTCAGACGTAGGATTGAACATGACCGCGTTCGCGAACATTCGCACCAGCTCCATTTCCAGTTGGGCTGAGTTGACGATGCCCTTTGGCGGGATGAGCTCTGCGGTCCTCTTCAATAAGAGACCATTGGTTTTCGTTGAGGTCCCGATGCTCGGGCCTGGAGATTCGATGTTATCTCCGCTTGGCGTATTCAAGGCCACTGTGGCTGCTGTTACTGCTTTGCTTCCTTGATAAACGGCAGATTTTATAGATTTGATATCCTGTGACCGATAGATGAGGTTTTTATAACCCGGTACATCGCGTTCTGTCAGGGGCTTTGCGAATATGGAGGCATATTTATGGGAAGCAACATAGTTCATTATTGGAGCACATGTTCGTGGGAAGTTGCGGGTACACTGTACATATTGGTTCTCTTGCCTATTAGGTGGTTGATTCGCATCTTCGAAACCAGATGCTTCACTTTGTCCACGCTTCCTTTTCGAAGTTCTCTTTGATAAGCTTTCATCTACTTGGGCTTGTTTGGGCGCCCTGAGCCGACTTGATGATCGTTGCTCCATTTCTGTATCGTCCGAGATTCCAGAAGGTGTACTGGGCATTTCATGTTTTATCTTCCGTTGAGTTACGGAGCCGGAATCAGTGATCGACTCATCGTCGCGAAATTCGTTCGATTGAGCACGATTGCGATTCCGCGTGATGCGCAGAGGAGATGGAACGAGATTGTCAGCGGCCTTACTACTAAACGCTGGTGTAGTTTTCCTTCTCCGAGTGTTCCCTGCTGGACCGGTGTCAAAGTCTACATCCGCACCCTGATACGAAAGGTGAGATTTCGAGATTGACGATGGCGATTCAATCTCAAACGTAGGTGACGGCACCCTTTCACTAATGGGGCTTACATCTTCCGGTTTAGGTCGTAGTGGAGAACCAGGAGACTTCGATATGGCAATTGGACTTGGTTTTTTCCATGGGGTGAGCACACCAGAAGTATCGACAGACGGCCGGGGCGGCCTCCGACTAAGTGAAGCTGAGAAGGATGGGGTGCCACTGTCTAATCTAATGGAGCCGGCATTACCGAGTGGTGTATTAGGACACGACTCCTGTGAGCTAGTGCGGCTTCTAGTATCGCTCTGCAACTGCTGGGGTAACCCAACACCAAGGGGCCGAGATGCTTGTCGTGGAGAACCACACGGACTCTGCAAAGCTTTGTTTACGTCTGGCTGGGCATGTGGAATCGCTTGACCGAATGGTAAAGGAGTTTTTCCAGTAAGTTGGCTGGTTGAGTATGGAGCGCTTGCGTATGGGGATACGTGTGCGTATGGGTTCGGGTTTAATGGACTCTGTGGTTGGGACAACGGTTGCTGGGTGTTTTGAGCTGGGGTAGTTTGCGACGTTTTAGTTTGGAGAGGAATGTATTGAACGGGCTGGAAGGTCGCAGTAGTAGGCTGCAGTGGCTGCGGCTGCTGCACACCGGTAGGAGTGGGTGTGGCGTGTAGAGAGGGCATTGCTGGCAGCGTGCTAGCTGCTGCGATAGGAGGAAGCGCCTGGCTTTGGACGGCGCCAGGGTCTACTTGAGGTACCGTGGAACCCTCAGCCGGTTGGCTTGGGGTTAGAGTACCATATTGTGAACTACGAGCAGGGACTTGTTCATTAGTTGGAAAAGGAGCACTTCTGTTCGCCGAACTTGGTGCAAGAGAGCGTGCTGAGATATTCTGCAGCGTAGACTGTTGGCCAGACTGCTGGATTTGCTGTGTTCGTGGAAATTGCGACGAGAGGCAGGCAGAAGTTGGGACAGCTACATTAACACTCTTGCCTTCCATCTGCAGGGCTTGCTGAATAGCTTTTTGCCCTTGTGCTAAGCCAGATTGTGCATGTTGCTGTGTCTGAGCATGGTGTAACTGGTCAGAAGATCTAGGAGCTTGGGGTGTTTCCGTGACGCTCCGCTTTTCCTGAACTTTGGAATTGGAAGCAACTGAATCCTGTACTGATGTAGGCTTTCTTTGCGCGACCTGTTCGGACGCCTGGGGCGTCACAGATGGACCATCTACTACAGAAAGTGTTTGTTGAGAGACTTCTCCAATCTCTAGCCTCTGGATCTCATCTTTGATTTCGCTGTATTTCCTTTCCTCTTCCTCAATCTCTCTAGTTACCATTTCCTTGTACCTAGCATACAATCGAGCCACAAGGGCAGGAATCACCGTAGTGTACGAGGCGCCATCGAGCATTTGTTTGGACGACCGATCCTGAATCTTCCTCTTTTTTGGGTTCGAGTTTTCACTCTCTGAGCAGTAGCCGGTGGGGCCATGTCCAGAGGGTGTCCCTTCTCTATTTTGCAATTCTTCCTTCACTAGGTCTGCATAAAGGACTTCTAGAGCTTGAGGGGTCAACCGGGCCTTGTCGAAAGTCGCATCTTGGCGGACGAAGGAATTATTCGTCAGGAGCTCTGATATGGGTGTCAAATTGGACGGTCGAGACTCGAAGGTGCTAAGATATTGGAAGAAGAACAGAGATTCAAAGGCGGTATATGATGACAATGAAGGCATCCCCCATTGCCAGTCAAAGCGACCAGACAGGGCGTTGTTGTCCTTGACGATGGGAGCCACGTTGAGGGTTGAGCGGGTTGAGTTATATAGGAACTGGTACCGATGGCGCAAGAGAGGACTCGTGTGCTTTACCGTCAGACCAAAACGATGTCTTCCAACAGCCACGAACACGCCTGGTTGTCACCAGAGAGGCGGATATGAGACGTGATGACAGAGTCTGAGACTTCTGGAAGAGCCTGGTGATGGAAAATCGATGGAAACGGCTCTTTCGTTGATGAAGGTGTTGATGATGGCAGAGGGAAAAATTACAAGTGAGAGGGGGTAAAATCACATGATTCAATCTCAACCCCTATGTTGGCTGAGTCATCCCAAGGGGCTGATGAATGTCTTGGCATCTCCAATCCAACATGTGGCATTGAGATTCTGGAGAATAGGGGTTCGATATTCACCCGCTTCCCCCGGCTAATAATTAAAATCATTATGTATGAAATATAGCAAGCTCTAGCTGCTTTCCCGAGGGTGGACCTTTCGCTATATAATAGCTATATCTAGGTGTATCTGAAGGTGTAGCAAGCACTTGCTGCATAGGAATATGTCTATTATTTGCGTTGCTTCTGCAAGGACCGCCGCGCCAGCAGGCCTGTTGGTTTTGTGAGGAGATGATCGACCGAACAAAGTAGATCAACATCGAATCTTCAATACGCCCGGCTAATTCATTCGTCGGTCAGGGCTGACCATCAGTCCTTAGCCAACATCAGATCCGGGATCATCTTCGTCCCCCTCAACGGAACTCCCAAATCAATCCATGAATGCTAGTAGATGTGCGCTCGTTATTAGCTAGGGTGACCGTTCAACCTTAGCCAACTCAATATCCCGCGTTTGCAGTTTGCTCACCTTCAACAACCTCTGAAACTGATTTGGATGATGCATAGGTGCATTGCGTTAAGGAGACATTTTAGCCTATGAGAAGTTGGATCAGTTTCGATGAATGCAGGAGTAGTCATGCCCAGGTGCAGAAGCGTTGATGAGTGCAGGGGCTCTTGTTGTCCATATGCATACTGCATCAAGAGCGAATCAGACCAAAGTGACAAATATGTTCACTGATGTAATATGTCAATATCTCCTAGTCCCTACCAAGGACGAATATGACCTCCCGCTCAATTGCTTCGTCAGCATCAATATCGTTTCATATATCGATTTCGCATTTCCGTGCTGGGTTTAATGATGTCCCAGGCAGACATAGTCTTCCTTTGAATATGATCATGAATCAATGCTCTAAAGAATTTTTGGTGATTCCGCACATCAGGCAGAGAGGATATAAGCCCAGGCGAGAAATTAAGACCGTAAAATAACAAACAATCATCGTGTTTCAAAAAAGGGCACCAATGACGAGTCATTTCGCGGGGAGAGAGTGAGTCGGAAATATAAGATGGTTAAAGAACTGGGATGGCAATGCCAACAAGATGCAGTCCAAACCAACCACCCGCTGCTGGTAGGGGGCAAGTCTTGCCGTGTCGTCGATTCGCTTTCGCTTGGCACAAAAGTGAGAAAGAGTTTAAATATTACCAGAAAAGCAAAGCTGTATATGAGGAAAAGAAGGTGTCTTCCCGACAATGTTTTTCAAATTGACACTATAAGACGGGTGTAGACCCGTAGAAGTATTCGAAACCCCGAGATCCATGTATCCATAGGATGGGAGGGGTGAAATGTAGCTAGCTCCCTCCAAGTCCCTAGGAAGTTACTTGGTTAAATTTTCTTTGCCGGAGCCAACGGGATGTGAAAAGTTTCAGCATTTGAGAGTAGAATCATGCCTCAATGCACAGGTTAAAAGCTGACATAAAAACGCGGATAAATTCATACGATGTGGAAGTGGATTAAGGAACAGCGTTAAAATTACATCCCATCCGCCCGTTTACTAGCGGCTGATGCTGTCCTTTTGGCTGGCCTACCAGATGCCAGCAAGAGATGGGCCCAAACAGACCCGGTTAGGCATGATATAAATAATTAGCCCCATTTGTTCCGAGAGCTGGTCTTCCCGATATCCACTCTTTTATCCGTACTAGGCTCAGTTTCCTCTTTGAGTCCGTCTGCCGTTTGGCTCATGACTGTGTCCGGTGTTCTCCATCATCCGTGCTGCCGCAGTCTTGGTCCTTGCTTCTTATCGACCTGGATTTCACTGTAGGAAGACTCCCACCTCCTTCGTACAATCAACACATATCACTCTTGCGGCTACATCGCCGACTCTGTGACAAACAAATTATTTCTCCTTGGATTCTCAGCTGGCTTTGGTCTTGTCTATTAGTTACCACCGCATCTCACTCTCCTGCGTATTTTTTTACTCCTGGCGCACCAAGATTCCCAAGCTACATTTCCCCCCTTTCCATCCCCCATTCCAAACTTGACCACGTCCCACCCGCAGCTGTCCCGTCGACTACACCAACCACCGCAAACATGTCAGACACTGAAGAAGAATGGAAGCCTAATGGCCGGCCTCAATCGTCCGTATTATCTGCCCTCTTGTTGTTTTCATGCATCAAATATTGATCCAAATCCAATGCAGGACCATGGCCCGTTCCCTCGCTGCCACCCTTGACAACCTCTTTATGTTAGATAGCGAGGTCGAAAGCCTGACAACATCTGTTCACTACAAGTACGCCTGCCAACGTTCAATCACCTCTTCGTCTTCTCTGCTTGTCCTTTGCACACCCATCCATCTACGATATAACATGAATTATCGTGCCAATGCGCAATAAACTCAATAAACAGCAACATACAATATAATACACCTTCCACAATACTAGCTCAAGTCCCGCCGTCCAAGCAGTCTACATATGCTGATGTTTTCCCATGGTTCTCCAGGCAACAAATGGTCACTATCCAAAACCGTGAGCTCGAAGCTCTGCAAGCTAGAATCAGAGAAGCCGAAATGCGTCTGAAGGAAAAAACTTCCCGGTCCATATCCCTAGAAGAAGATTGCAACACAGAGATTGCAGCACCTTTGCCACCAGGCAAGGATGTGGATGAGCGAAATGGCCACTCCCCATCCTCCTCATCTTCTTCCCCGGAAAGTCACCAATCGGACGAAGGCTCCACGGATTCTTCGACCACAGCAGCTACGTCCAGTGATGTTGATGACAGAGCGAGTCACGATGGTTCCGGGAATGAGAGACAAGAGAAGGAAAATAGCGGAGGCCGCAATTCGTGACAGGGGACATGTGAATTAGAAGGGTGAGCTTTCCCTTGTTGATACCATGTTTTTCGTTTTCCACTTGCACCTGCACAGCTCCCCAGCCTGTTCGCAAGTGAGAATGAAGAATCTCCCTTTATGATTGCCAGCGTGCGGCAGGATACCCATCTCTCTCTCTCTTCCTGCCACTCGTAAAACGGGCTGCTTCAAGATACAACAAGAGATATAACCCTTTACATTTTTCATTTTCTCCCCTCCCCCCCCCTTTTCTTTTTTCTCTAGCTGCCTTATTTCCCAATCATAACATGCGTCATACATAACACATACATATACCCATTACATCTTACTGCCCCTTAAATTTATATATGCCTCTTCTCTCCTTTGCCCCTTTTTTCCTTTCTTCTTTCCCTTTTTCGCATCCACTTGAACACTTCGATCATTTGGCCTTTTGCTGTTGGAATCACCCTGTTCGCATTTCATTCTTTCATTTATTAATTTTCCTTACTACTTCTCAACCCATTTTTATTACTTAGCTTTTTAATACAAGAGAGTGGGTAAATGACCCCTCAGGAGCTCAAGACTGCACTGATCTGATGAATTTTGCCGATAATTGTTATTTTTAAATACCAAGAATCAACTCAAACCTACAGGGATTATCAGACAAGGATGGGAAGTTTAAAAAAAAAAGAAAAAAGTAAACCCTTAGATTCACGTTGCGTAGGACACTTGGTCGATACTGGCAGGATAAATTCAAACGAAAATCAATGCCAGTAAATCGAGATATATTCCATGAACCTCATTTATCAACACTCTGGCATTTACGGATTAGCCGTTGCCCCGGGCGACCACCCCGCCACACGTGATCAGACATATAGATTAATCCCCTTCCTTTCAATACGAGACGTTCAAACCATCTTCACAATTTCACTCCCACAAACCCCCATGGCTTCTCTTCGCACAGAAAGTTTCACCGAGTCTCTTTTTCATTCATGAAAGATGCACCAGCTATTCTGGACCCCCATGTGTTCTTGCTGTTAGGGGCGACCCACGGAAACTCCTTGTAGGAAGGCCAAACTAGAAAATGAAAAGAAATTATACAGCTATGGAAGAAGCTTGACACCAACCCGGCTCGAACTGAAGTTTGTAGTGCGGCTACCCGAGGTCACGTGCACCTATGTATTTATTAGTTGTAGCTAGCTCACTTAGAGTCCCACAATGTAACAAGGTTTGATAGTACTCATGGGAATAACCAACTACAACCATGCGTCTTTACTTGTTGGAGGCAATAGGAAGGATAGCAACTGAAATATATGGTTTTGACCTCTATAAGTTACAAGGATATTTCTGGCATGCACCTGTATTTGCATTTGATTACGCTTCTGCTGGTATATACAGCGCAAGAGGTGCTGGTGAAGTTTCTGTGCGTGCCAGTTTGTGGCCTACCAATGCTCGCCATGGGGACTACGATTTCGAGGGGAGGAGGCGTGCAGAGTGTCGAGGAACTAATTTTTCTTAAGCCCTTATTTTCGAATTCGATTTGCTAGGCCCACCTAACTGGTAGACGTGTATGAACTTCAAGAGAGGGGGGTCTTTGGGGTCGGGTCTTACGGTGGATTTGTGGAATCGGCAAAAATTGTGTCCCCGATTACTCTGCGCACACACCTAGGGCCAGCCTAACCCGTCCCTTGCTTTCTTTTTAGAGAACCATTTCTCCATTGAACGGATTGGTTGAGGAAACCATTCCGATGCTGTGGTGAAATCATTAAATTACCTCTCAGGTTCAGGAGCGGTTATGAACACCACCACATGGAGCATTCAAAGCTACCTACCGTTTGTAGGTACTTACGTAGAATCAGAAACCTCATCGCTACAATGTTCATTTTGTTTAATCCGCACATAATACATCAGATCCAAAGCAATACAGCCCATCATAATAACAAAAATATCGACTCATTGGAGCATCCATTCATTTCGGCATCTCCTCAAAATACCTCTCCCATCCAATCTCCCTCATCTTCGCCCCCTTTATATCTAAATTATCCACTTTCGCATTCTTCGCATACTCCTCCACCTTCCTTCGAAGCTGCCAGTCAAAGGCTCCCAGGATCCGAGCTGCCAAAAGTGCCGCGTTGATGCTATTGTTAATCCCCACAGTGGCAACTGGGACTCCCCGCGGCATTTGCACAATACTGTACAAACTATCAACTCCATCCAACGAACTCCCCTTCACCGGCACTCCAATCACTGGTAACGAGGTATGCGCAGCGGGCCATGCCGGGCAGATGTGCAGCACCCCCCGCAGCAGCGATAATTACCTTAATACCACGAGAAGCTGCTGTCGATGCATATTCCGCCATGTAATCGGGAGTACGGTGCGCGGATGTAATGTCAACCTCCGGTTCGATGCCGAAGTTGTATTTTAGAAGGTTGAGGCCCGGTATTAGGGTCTTCAGGTCACTGTCAGAACCCATAACTACTCCAATGGTCGGTTTAGGTCGCGTGTAGGCAGGTTTGGGCGGGAAGAAAAGCATGGGAGACGCAGATGTGGCAACTATGGTATCTGTGGGTTCGAGAAGGGGCTCAACAAGAGTTTCCGCTTCTTTCATTGTGCGTGCTGTGACGGTGATATGACCCATCTTCCGTCCTAGGCGGGCAGCGCCTTTACTGTAAAGATGGATGCTGGCGTTTGGAATTGAGAGAGCGCGCTCAGCGACTTTGAGATGTGAGTCTGGCGTAGTGCCGCCTAGGATGTTAACCATTATGGCCGGCTGTCGGATTTTAAGGCTCTGTTGGGGTATGGGGAGGTCAAGGATCGCTCGCAGGTGTGCTTCGAATTGCGACATGGGGCAGGCTTCGATGCTGTAGTGACCCGAGTTATGGATGCGGCTGGCAAGTTCACAGAGTAATAGCGAATCGTCTTCCAAGAGGAACATTTCAACCCCGAACACGCCTTTGCCGTCAAATGCCGCAACCGCATTCCTGGCTAGCTCTTGGGCCTTCTTGTCGACGGCATCTGATATACCTCTGGAGGGCGCGTATACTAGTTTGCATATTGAGTTTTCTTGAATAGTTTCGACGGTAGGGTAAGATAGAACTCCATCCTTGGTTTTGACTACAATGACAGCCAGCTCCTAAATTCTTCAATGTTAAAAGGCTTTACGGTCGTTCATATTGTAGAAAGTTTTTTACTATATACCATTCTGAAGCTGACCCATTTCTCCGCATAAAGCGGCCGATTTTTTAAGGAGTCGAGTGCCGCTGGGACCGATGACTTTGCTTTAACAGTGTAATTCCCTTAATTTAAGCATAGGTTGGATTAGTTGGAAAACAAGGTAATAATATGCATGGAACACGACATCACTCACCTCTGCCGTCGTACGCCAAAGTTTTTGATTTAAGCATGAGTGGATAGCCCAGCTCTTCTCCAATTGCCTCCAGCTCCTCCACAGTATTAGATTTCAGCTCCTTGTATTCCGCCATCGGGATACCGAAGCGGGACAAATGAACCTTCTGGGCAAATTTGTCCTGGATAATTCGAATGCTTTGCCAGCTGGGTTGCACCTCGACTTGATCCTCCACCTCCTCAAGCGTATAGGTATCTACATGTTCAATCTCCGCAGTAATAATGTCGCAAACATCTGCGAGCTTGCAAACCGACGCGCGGTCAGCAAAGGAGCCGGTGACATGTCCGCTGTGCGCACTGATTTGTTTCGCAGGGGCGTTATCGGAATCTAGGATGGTCATTCGGATGTTCAGACGGTTTGCAGCCTCCATGAGCATTCTGCCCAATTGGCCGCCACCAAGGACGCCGACATTGCAAGATTCCAGCATCGGAAAGGTTTTGGAATAATATAAGGGCAATGCCGAGGAGTGGTGGTTTGGCTCGTGGAATTGAAATCGGTAATGTATGTTATCTCGATATGTAATTTTCCGACGTTGAACTTGGTGGAAAATCTATGTTCCAAGCCGGTGGCGACGGCGGTACGGAACCCGGTTTCTAATATCTTAACTAGGAAAGGAGCCTTTCATGGAATATCAGTATCAATTTTTGTCAACCTCAAAAAGGTTTATCTTCACTTATAGTCACTAATATTTCATTGAACCCGCAGCTGGCTACGTCATCAGCCTTCCAAGTTTGCAGGTAGGTTCGTCCCACATGCGAGATGTGAATAAAATGCTCTTTATCTAACGATAGATTGCTGTGCTTATTACCAGGCGGGCCTCTTTCAAAGCTACCTGTGCTTCAATTTCATAACCATGGTGGCCATTGATCATTACGAGTTTCTCTGCGAAGAGGAGAAGCGACTAAAGGAGGATCGTGAGCGTGTGAAATATTGGAAAAGATGGGGCCCGTATGTTGCAGAGCGGCAGTGGGCCACAGGTTAGCCGTTCCAACATGTTAAAGCGGGGTTATGAAACAAACGGCTAACGATTTGCACTTCCCTCTAGTGCGTGAGGACTACTCGTAAGCCTCGTCCATGTCCTCCTCTGAATTATTCATCGTCTAACCAGCTCTTGCAGTGCGGATGGAGATGCCTGGAATTGTAAGTTTTGAATATTGCATACCATGCATGTGTAAAGGCAATGGCTTACAGTTTACCCCCAAATCAAAGACTTCACTTATGATGATGCTAGATCTCGAGTTTTCCGTTGGGGGGAAGATGGGATTGCTGGAGTATCGGATAGCCACGGCTTGCAGAATATATCCTTTGCATTTTGGAATGAGAAAGAGTATGGTATGCACCATCTCATGGAGATTGAATCCTATTAACTGTAATAGTGATTTCCTGAAAGAGAGACTGTTTGGTCTCTCTAATCCCCAAGGAAACCATGGCGAAAGTATCAAGGAAGTACATTTTCATTTGGATAATACGCCAACGGTAAGGAAGATGTCTCCTTTAATGGGACTTTATGTGGCCTAACCTGATTTCCTTAAGTAGCATTCCTACATGAAATATTTATACAAATATCCGCAAAGGAAATTTCCATATGAGGACCTCGTGGAAGAAAATGCGAAGCGTGGGAAGGAGGATAGGGAGTACCAGATTCTTGACACTGGCATTTTCGACGAAGACAGGTATTGGGATATATTCATTGAAACAGCAAAAGAGGATGAAGATGAATTGCTTTTTCGTGTTATTGCCTACAATCGAGGACCAGAACCCGCGCCGTTACACATCATCCCGCATGTCTGGTTTAGGAATACGTGGAAATGGGGACGCGAAAATGACGTGTGGAAGCCATCAATACAACAAATTGACCGATTAACTGCCCAGTCACACCATTCGAAACTTGGAACTCGATATATCCAACTATCGCCTTCGCCCTCTCCCAGTTCCACGGAAGATAACATTGAACCCCGTCTCTTATTTACGGAGAACGAATCTAATACCAAATTGTTATACGGCGAGGAAAATTGTACTCCATACGTCAAGGACGCTTTCCATAGGTATATTGTGGACGAGGAAAAAGACGCCATAAATCCAAGCTGTCGGGGTACTAAGTTTGCTGCTTGGTACGCTTTCGACGAAGGGGATGGCGTTCCTCCTGGGGAATGTGCAGTTGTGCGATTCCGTTTATCCAAAAAGAATGACACATATGTAGATGAGGAGGCCTTGGATATTATCATTGAAAGACGCATTGCAGAAGCTGACGATTTTTACTACCGTGTCAGCCCATTACCTATGTCTGATGATTTGCGGAATATTCAGAGACAGGCTTTTTCGGGCATGATGTGGACAAAACAGTGTTATCAATTTATCTGGGACCAATGGGCGGAGGGAGACCCTGGGCTCCCGCCACCTCCACCGGAAAGAAAAACAGGTCGTAACCAACATTGGAAGCATCTGCATATCGACGATGTTTTGTCCATGCCAGACTCATGGGAATACCCTTTCTTTGCTGCGTGGGATACTGCATTCCATTGTATTCCGCTCGCAATGGTGGATCCTGAATTTGCTAAGAAGCAGCTTGATCTTCTCACCAGGGAATGGTACATGCACCCAAATGGGCAAATACCAGCCTACGAATGGAATTTCGGAGATGTTAATCCCCCGGTACACGCCTGGGCAGTTTTCCGAATTTTCAAAATTGAAAGGAAGATGTATGGACGGCAAGACTTAGACTTTCTTGAACGGGTGTTTCAAAAGCTGCTGTTGAATTTTACCTGGTGGGTTAATAGGAAAGACTTTGAAGGCAAGAACGTCTTCGAGGGTGGTTTCCTAGGTTTGGATAATATTGGTCTTTTTAACAGATCGGAGCCTTTGCCAACAGGAGGAGTTCTCGAGCAGGCTGACAGCACCGGCTGGATGGCGTTTTACTGTTTGTCAATGCTTAATATTGCATTAGAATTGGCAAAACATAGAAGGATATACGAAGATAGTGAGCTATGATACTGTCCCTTTTTGTAATTTCTCTGACATCATATTCCCAGTTGCGTCGAAATTTTTCGAACATTTTCTTTTAATTAGTGATGCAATGACCTTCAGGACCGAGGTGGCAGAATCCTCTTTATGGAATGAGGAAGATGGGTAAGTTCTTCTCCATATCAGTTGTCGATCCATGTTCTAATTCGTGTATCCAATGGTCCTAGGTTCTATTATGATGCAATTTCTTATGGAGACCCATGGAGTCATCAACTCCCTGTCCGCTCTCTCGTGGGACTAATCCCTCTCTATGCTGTGCTCACCCTAGAGCCAGAACTTATCAACAATTTCCCCGATTTCAAACGACGTCTGAATTGGTTTATTAAGAACAGACATGACGTCGCCGAGCGCAATATAGCAAGTATGGAACGTCGTGGTAAAGATGACAGGCTCCTCCTAGCTCTAGTTAGCAAGGAGAGGCTGGAGAAGATCCTTAGGAGGATGCTTGATGAGACCGAATTTCTCGCTGACTACGGAATACGCTCCATGTCAAAATATCATGCCGAACACCCATATTCCATGGAAGTGAATGGCCAGGAATTTAAAGTTGGATATGTGACCGGCGATTCTGACAGTGGATTATTCGGTGGCAATAGCAACTGGAGAGGCCCAATCTGGATTTGCGTCAACTTTTTGTTGATTGAGTCACTTCTCAGATTTCATATGTTTTATGGCGATTCTTTTAAAGTTGAATGCCCAACAGGTTCCGGAGACTACATGCATCTGGGGCACGTGGCTGAAGAACTCCAACATCGCTTACAGCATCTTTTTGCCAGAAATGATGATAATCGCAGAGCTATCAATGACGGAAACGATATCCTTGATTTTGACCCACATTGGAAGGACTATCTCTGGTTCCATGAGTTTTTTGACGCAGATACCGGACGAGGCCTCGGGGCTTCTCACCAGTGTGGTTGGACAGGCCTCATAGCGAAGATGATACATGATACAGGGTAAACATTTGGCAGGATAATATTCCCAACACAGGATGAAACATGGAAATAGTTCCCCATAGATACTAACATCCAATTTTCTCATAGAGTAACCTGCCGCCTCCCCCACACTCCTCGAACCCCGACTACTGCCGCCTCTCACTACTTCGACGATCTATTATCTCGCCATGCAAAGCCTCGCAATAGCAAATCATCAATCTTCCGTTGCTCTTCAACTACCCGCTCCATTGGGCGTCGGAGCAGTTTCACCAGCAACGTGACTTGTGATGAGGCCGCAGACGAGCAACTGGCCGAGTCCAGCGAAGCAATGTCACACGAGGAAAGTCCGACCCCTAGGAGTATCGAGGTCGAGGAACATGCTCTGATATATCACCGAGACGAGGCTGGGCGTGCGGCGAGGAGAGATTCCATGACTGTTCATGAGGACGAGTTTACATCTGGTCCTAACACATTAGACTGACTTATCCGTTTATGGGAAGTCCTTGTTAGTGAGTACGGTTGGCTGAATGTGCAAACGTTCTTTGTACCCATACAATTCTACGTGTCTGTCTGCACTACCCCCATGATATGTTATGGATTTTGGTATTGACTAAACATGACGGTGGGGAATTTATGCGCGATTGGTTTTCCGCAGGGTTGTGTTTTGCATGAGAAATTATTTCTTTTGCCTTTTTGGCTGGACCTCAAATTCAAATTTTTATTTCGCAAAAAGATAGATCAATAAACTAATAGCTCAACATCCAGAATTAATGAATACAAACCTCCGTTCCAAATATTTTGGGGAGAATTCCGGGCAAAATTTAGGAATACCTGCCCAAGGTCGCGGTAGGAATTGCTTCTTGCGAGGTGCACATAAACATTAAGTTGGCTTGGAGCAGTCATGCTATAAAATCTGTAATTTATGAACCTTGAAGATTATATCACTTGAGAAGGTTAAATTAAGCTCAAACTACGCTATACTCTTATTGGTTAAAGTGAAATTTATGTACAAAATCAGTACTCTAAATACAGCAATGTAATTTACGAGGACGTGAAATATTTTCGATCCTCATCTCATGGACGAGGTATATCCAATAATGTCCATCAACGTTTACTGGGGCTTCATCAATTGCTTCCCCGTATCACATTGCTGTGGTTCTCAACATCTACTCCAATGTTAAAACCATCCTCATTACCATCCCCATTAGCCGTGCCGGGCTTGCTGAGAAGTTTCTTGGGCGTCCGGCTTCCGCTTCCCGCAACATATAGGAAATACAGTTTAACTGCCCCATGTCCAACATGTTCAGTTACTCGCCCATCACCCAAATGTTGGCAACCTCTCTCTCGGCGCCAGTTCAGTAAATCTCCCACTATTCTCTTACATTTATCAGACACTCCTGAAAAACCACAAAATTCCTCCTCAACACTTGAACAGTCTCATCAACAGGAGGAGCTCAAACCCGATCCCGATCGAGATAGCAATGATTCCAGCTCCAAACCAGCCGAAATGGTTTCCCCCATGGGTCCAAAAAGCAAAGCAGAATTCACGGGGTCGCGGAGTGCTAGAGCTACAGGGGGCAAAGCAGGCAGGGCAAGCAAGTCCGACAAGTTGGATGCGCCTCAGAAACTAGAACCATGGCAGATACAGAAGCAGGCTTTGAAGAAAAAGTTCCCGGAGGGATGGAATCCGCGCAAGCGTCTGCACCCAGATACTCTTGATGTTATCCGGCATTTACACCAGCAGGACCCAAAGAAATATACAACCCCGTTCCTGGCACAGGAATACAAGGTGTCTCCGGAGGCAATCCGACGGATATTGAAAAGCAAATGGCAACCAAGTGAGGAGGTGATTGCTGAGCGGCGGGAACGCTGGGAAAGGCGGCATAAAAGAATCTGGAATCAACTGGCGGAAATTGGAGTACGACCCCAAAGGTCAAAATTTGCTGACTTTTCGGATACTCGGATTCTATATGGCAGTCGTCGCACAGCAAGTTCAAAGTGATGTAGCCAGGAACATGCAACTATGTGTTGATAATTTTTAAAAACAAGAGCTGCTTGAGATTCATCGCTTGTTTAAGGAACAGACGTTATCTTTTATTGAAAATGCGCCCTCAATACAAGAATTAGATACCTAGATATAAACTTGTATTTTATTGAAATAATATCGCGATATTGTAATACACGTTTCAGTCATCTGGGATATCCGCAAGCATCATCTTGATTTGTGGTTCAGTTTAACGTTGAACATTTGGAACAGCGGGTAGTTTGACTCTGGGTAAAAGGCAAAAGTAGTCAGTTAACTACCCGCCATAAGCGCCGCTAAACGTAAGTTATCAGCCCCATCTCGCCGATAAACCAACTTCGAGCTCTTAAATCCAGACAATCACTGTCCCAGGCATCCTTCTCTGTTCCGAACCCCACGACTGTATTACTTGCAACGAGCATCTGCTACCTTCTGTGATGTTCCCCTTCGTTTATTGACCCTCTCTCACTTTTCCGCCGTGACAGCATGCCCAGTCTCATTGCACCCTTAACGCAGTCAAGTCAACCACTTCCTGACAGCCCCCCTTGAGCAGCGCCTTTGAGCGTAACGAATAACTGTCTGCTGGATGCAGCGATATCTTCCCCCTCACCATGCAGTCTGACATGCAGGTGTTCGTGCGGTGGAAAGAACAAACGATCTTCGCTGGAGAGGATGTTGAATGCATTATAACTTTCAAGAATGTCACTCTTAATGACTCGAGTACGGATGACAGCGCATCTCAGAAGCACATCAGACGAGGATCACGCCCCATGAATGGAGTTGTCAGCGGAGGAAACTACTCGCCCGCGAAATCCTTGAATCCATTTTCCTTCAATAATCGCCGTTCGCTCGCCACTAGCCCTAGAAATCGTCAACAGGGTTCCGACAAGGCTCATCGAACAGCTGCTTCTTTAAGTTCCCCGCTTGCCCTAAGCAGCAGTTTCCCATCCACAACTACTCTTCCAAAGAATAATGCCGCTCAGTTTCCGGGTCACAGACACAAGAGATCGCTTTCCATCATCTCCCTCGAACCAGAAAAACAAGGGTCAGCAAGCTTTCAGGTATTTTCAAAGAGGAATGAGTTTTATGGAGCCAACTCTCATCCTGGTAACTCTCCATGATTCAAGAAGGAATTGCGTTTTCTGTGCTAACAAGTTACTGTAGTATCTCGTCCCTCAAGCCACCGTTTTCCATCCAACGACTCGTCACCAAATTTGTCATTACCCAACCAGAGATATGGTTCAGACCGTCTGCGACTACCTACTCGCTCTCAATCAGAAATTTCAAGACCTATTCAGCGGGAACAAGGACGACGACCTGCTCCCCTCCCACCTGATTTTAAATTTCCGCAAGCTGCCCCCACTCCCAGTGATACCCAGCCCAGAACAAATGGTTCTCCTGCCTCTACAGTTCCGTCCACCGTAAATACGAAAGATGTTCTGATCCTAGAGCCACCCACTCGTTTAGCCCCTTCTACAAAGCTGCTCTCCAACTCTAGCCTAAATGGCAGCACCCGAAGCAGCGGAGAGTACTATTCTATGAGCAATAACTCAACTGAGACACTCGAGTCAGAATATGCATCATACGCTTCTAACAAATCCTCACACCTGATCCGACATAGACGGCATTGTTCCAACATGGAAGCGGTTGGGAAGAATAATAAAACATATTCTCATACACTACTCATGGGCTACGCGCAGGTTAGCGCCTCATTCACCGTTGACGGGTCCTTGATCAACCAGTCACTATTCGAGGACGTAAAACGCAAGGGTGTTGTAGGAAATCAAGGTCGCACCGATGCTTCCCAGAAAGCTGAAAAAGCTCGTAATGGGTTTTGGGGGTCGCTTGGGGGATGGAATAACTTGAGTGACTCATTATCTACATTACTTTCCAATAACGAGCTGGATGGGCTCAGAGATATGAGGGGCGTTGCCTCTTCACAGTCCATCCCATTGCTCTCCACGCCGCAGTCTCTCTTGTTTGTAGATTTACGGTTGGGCCCCGGAGAGGAAAAGTCTTTCTCCTTTTCGTTTACTTTACCCAAGGGTTTGCCGGCCAGCCATAAGGGAAACGCAATCAAAATTTCTTATCATTTGGTCATTGGCACCCAGAGAGCAATAAATCCGAAGGAGCCACAGAAAGTCCATCGGATAAACGTTCCGTTTCGGGTCCTCAGCGGTGTAGATGGTGAGTGCAATCCTAACTTCTCCCTACAAGTTGTTTACTAATGCTCATATCACTGCATTAGCACAAGGAACCGTGCTCAGTCACGACCTAATGAGACCGTACGTGCTACTTCGCGATGAAGCTCGTGTACAAAAGGTCGAAAGCACACCCCTACGACCGACCAAGGAAAAGAGTATTAGTGCGAAATCGTGGACATCATCATCGGACTTTCTCTCCTATGTCGATGAGATTTTGGATCACCCTGTACGGCGGGAATCCTTTAGTTCATTGGCGTCCCCAATGGATACCCGTTTGAGCATTCTTTCTGCTACAGGGCAATTCTCATGCAAGGACGCAATCGAGTTAGCCATTTTACGAAGCAATCAATCAACGAATTCTAATCGAAGCGCCAATAGGTTTGAGATAACTCGCAATGGACGACGCATTGCAGTGATAATACTGAACCGACCAGCTCATCGGTTGGGAGAGACGGTGATTGCGACGATAGACTTCTCAGGTTCCGCATTGCCTTGCTATTCCTTACGCGGGTCACTTGAAACGACCGAGAAGGTCAGTCCAACGATTGCCCTCCGTTCTAGCGCAAGTATTACACGAGCAACCCGAAAAATCCATGCTAGTTGCTTTGAAAACACATTATTCGCCACCAAGGTGGTTTTTACGCCATCGATTCCTGTTTCTGCTACACCTACCATTATCACATCGGGGGTGAATCTTGAATGGGAGCTTCGTTTCGAATTCGTAACATCTAATATTCCAGACGATGATGATGATGAGGTTGGGGTATCTGGAATCAACTTGTTGGAAAATGTTGAGCAGGATGATAGGGGTACAGTCTTGGCGTCGTTGGAGAGTCTATCCTGTGAATCGTTTGAAGTTATGATTCCACTGACTGTGTACGGAGGTAATATTCGGGAGCCAGTCGGAGAGGAGCTGCAAGGAGGTCCGATATAGCTAGCAGTGGAGAGGTTGACTTGATCGTCTTCAGGGTGCTGATCAAGTTTTCTGATGGACGGCATATAAATATATATTCGAACAAAGGCAACTTTTCTAGGTTATTATTTTTGTTTTATGTTTTCTTTGTTTCGCGGCAATAGATGCATCGCTCTCCGTCCCTAATATTAAAACTTAATGAGTGTTTCTCCTGCCCTACCCCAGATTTCTGAAAAAAAATGTTTTTTATTCCTAAAAATGTGCTACCTACCCGCCGGTTGATGACAAGACTATGTAACTCTGGCAGCTATCTAAATACCCAGGCAGTTCGTCATGATCCCGCAACGCTAAAAACTAAAGAGGGGTTGTCCTGCTGTAGGTTGCATGGATGAGATGTTTTTTCTAGTTACTTCATTTCTCAGACAATGCCAATTCGTGTGATTGAAGCTCCAATATTTCAGACATTGACACGACAACAATCCACCTTCAAGTCGGGAGAATGGACAGCTAAAAATATTATCCTAAATCCAACTGCTACGTCGAGAGCTCTGTGTATATTTTAAAGTTTCATGGATATATTGACTTCACTGTCCGTCACCAGAAATTTATCCAGAGATACCCCTTCTGTCGACCTGAACTGCAACAATGTCTCCACAACAAAGGATCAAACCATGGGCCAGACAGGCGCAAAACAAATGTATTTTCCTCGCCAATGTGGCTGATCCAGTCAATGGCTCCAAACTGTCAAGATTTCTGGAGGGTTTATCGAATCTAATCTGTTACAGCAGCTAATTCTGCCCCGGCCGATAAATTGCCAAATACAATTACGATAGACATGCAGAGAAATACTTCTGTTTAGCTTAATCAATTACCATCTCCACCTCAACACAGTCCCCCAAAAGGGGGGGGGGCGCGAGGGGAGATACAACTCCACAATGTGTTGAATATGGATGGCACCGTGACATCCATGCGTCAGCCTTCTCAGGGTTTCACATCAGTCCGAGACTCCGGCGGAGCCACCCTCCCTCAGAGGAAGCTATCAACGATGATGCCTTCCCTGGTCCCCTTCTATTCATCTCGGGAGATCTGACTGTTGAGCCGGCAACATCACTGGACTAGGTCATGTCTGCGACGGAGTGACGGAATGCGTCAAATACGCCAGAGACAAGCTCTACTGTGGTGCAGATTTCATCAAAATCATGGGCGGCAGACGCGTCGCGAGTCCATCTGATAGGCTACAGAACATGTAATTTACAACCACGGAGATCCAGGCGATTAGCGAGGTGGCTCGTTCTTATCATACCTGCGTCATAGAGCATGCCTACACGTCGCAGGCTATTAGGCACTCCGTCGATAATGGAGCTATAGGCATTGTACACGGAAACTTGCCTGATAAGAACACGGCAAAAATAATACATGGCGGAGCGAAATGTCATTCTCACACCAATCCTGGTCACATACTCGAAAATGGCCTCTTCCGATTGACCTGGCTTTTTATCTGCGGAATCTGCATCGAAGAATGCTGCTGTTCTCCAAACAGGCTTGCAAGCGCTGAAAATTTTAAGTGACGCTGGAGTCACCTTATGCTACGGTTCGGATCTTCTTGGTCCACCCGCGATGCGCAAACGAAGGAGTTTGGATTACGCTCCCAGGTTCTCTCCACGAATCAAGTGTTGCAAAGTCCCACAGCAAATGTAGCGCGTGTGTTGTGATAGGAAGAATTCTTAGGCCATATTAAGGTTCGATTCTCGGCTGATTTGTTGTTGTTGAATCAGATTCCGCTGCAGAACATTCCAATATTGGATCAGCTGGAGACACACATTTACTGGCTGTGATTAAGGAAGGCGTGTAGAAGCCAGTCGATGGCAGAAACTGCTTGAGGACGTGACAAGGCCGCGTAGGTTGATTGAGTAATTCATGTTCCCCTCATATTCTTGCTCTAAAGGGTTGTTTAAGTCCTCTTTCAAAGGGGCAATAGTAGCAATGAGATATTTCGGAAAGATGCGATATAACACACCTAATTCATGAATATGATTCTCCACACATTTAGAGATGTTTCCTATATATGAGAATAAATAATAGTAAAGTAGTCCGTAACCTGAATATTTTATAACTAGCAGTGAAGTGCTTTGTCAAGTATTCAGTTGCGTAGTTATTTTATTTTTAGCACAGGGTACCTATTGCGTCAAGTCAAGGACCACCAAAACATACACTTTCACCCACGAAACGTCCCTGATTTGAGGCATCTTATCTGTTAGATTATACAGGTACGTGTTAAACAGAGCATACCAACTTTATCAAAAAAGTTAGAATACGGAGTGGAGTTTGTGGAGGGACGCCATGCATCCGTTCCAAGTTGTATAGTTTGATATCACGTGAAGTGCCCGTCGCCCGGGCAACCATCCCCACTGTGTCTGGAAATGCGGGCAGCACACGTTGATTGACATCATCATATTAATATCCAGTAAATTGGGTATTGTCTCGCGGAACAGCAGCCAAGTATCTCGCGACTCGCTCGTATTTACCCAAATTCCCCCCGCTTTAATCCCACATGAGTATCACACACAACGACATTAAGACCACATCAACACCCAGGCGGTCTGAATCCAGCCGCCTTGAAGAATCCCTACGATCGCCGCCCAAAACGACCAACATCGTCCATTTGTCCAGTCGCGTGTTATAACAGGCAGATAACCAGACGAGCGAATCATCCATGGCGTCTTTCATAAATACAATGTTAGTATACAACACCATGGAGTGTCCAGAGTTACATGTTATCTTTAGCGGACAAAGGCCCATAGTTATGCCTCCTATCATTTGCCCACCACCAGAGCTTTTTGGCTGATTCGCATCGTTTCTTTTTAAATAGTAATGCCCGGTCCAAAGGGCCATTCAGACCAAGAGCAGTGCATAAAGGGACAACAAACTACCAGCTGAGACAGTTCGCAGAAGCTACTCTTGGAAGTGGAAGTCTGAGGAAGGCAGTAAAATTGCCTGAAGGTGAAGACTTGAACGAGTGGCTTGCAGTGAATGGTATGGCAAAATGACACCCAGGAAGCTCCCTCTGGCAAGAATGTGAATATCACATGCTAAATTGTGTGCTACTTCTGCAGTTGTGGATTTTTATAACCAGATCAACCTGCTCTACGGATCAATTACGGAGTTCTGCTCTCCCCAATCATGCCCTGAAATGAAGGCTACAGATGAGTCAGTAATTGGATATGACTGCCTCGTAGAATATGCTCGGCAAAGCTGAAAAGTGTGTAGATTCGAGTATTTGTGGCAGGATTCGGAGAACTACAAACGGCCCACGAAAATGCCCGCTCCGCAATACGTTGAGCACTTGATGGCTTGGGTTCAGAGCAACATTGATAACGAGCAAATGTTTCCCAGCCGAATCGGTTAGTTTTCCACCTTCTGATCCCCTGAGCTAAGGAAGAGTACCTAGAAAGCTAATTCCACCGAAAAAATAAAAATAAAAACCAGGCGTCCCCTTCCCAAAAACGTTCACCAGTCTCTTGCGCCAACTCTTCAAGCGGCTCTACAGAGTATATGCTCATATCTACTGCCACCACTATCCGGTGATTGTGCATCTGGGCCTAGAGCCCCACCTTAACACAAGCTTCAAGCATTATGTGCTCTTTGTTGACGAGCACAGCTTGGCCAGCGGGAAGGACTTTTGGGGCCCACTGGGTGATCTGGTTGAGAGTATGCTTCGCAGTGACTAAAATGAAATTCACGCATGCATTGTTTATGGAACTATAATTTTTGTTTCACCGTATATCATGAATTGTTAGAGCTTCTGAAGGATCGGGAGTCGAGGTAATTTTTCTTTTTGTGGGAAGCATTTGAAGTGGGAGTTCAGGCATTCTTCATAGCTGGGATGTGTGTATGGATCCTGCAAACAACTGATGTTGCTTATAATCTATGACATTATCCTCCATGTTTCTACCTATTCCTCAAGCATCTTTACCAAATCTACCTTATTAACGTTCTCTACGTCATCCCGTGACGGAAAAATTTCCGTATCAATACCGTATGTAATTTAAACAACCGACCACTTTTCGTTTCGCTACGAGTCACGTGGCGCTCTACCAATTGCTGTTTGAGCCTCTGTTCAAAACTCCCTTTCATCAGAACTGTGAACTACGGCAGCAATTACAACTCCCCACACGCTCCTCACCCTCTCTTTCACTTTGTGAATTTCCTTGCCTAGTCTCCCTGAGACTTCCTGCTACCATGCTATCCTCCAGAGCAGCCCAATCCACCCTGCGGGCCACCGCCCGCCAATTCTCCTCTGTTCCCCGGGCTGCCGCTATCAACAATGTCAGAACCTATGCTACTGCCGCAGCGGAAACAAAGCCTCCTATCGCCCTTTTCGGTATCGATGGCACTTATGCCAATGCTCTGGTGCGGCAATTAAGCCATCCCTGTCCACTCACCCTGCAGTCACAGAAAGCAATTGGATGAAGGATGACGTTTTTTCCCTGAATCAAAATCAATCTAACATTTGTGCCCACTTGTGTTTTAGTATACTGCATCGGCCAAGACATCCAGCCTGGACCAAACATCCAGAGCCCTCGCAATCTTGTCAGACGTCTTCAAGAAAGATGCCAAATTGCCCACCATCCTCAGCGCCCCCACGCTCTCTGCAACCGATAAATCCCATATCGTCCAGGAGCTGCAACGAGTTGCCGGCGGTCCTGGGAAGGATAATATCTTGAAGAACTTCCTCTCGACATTGGCTGAGAATAACAGACTTAGCATTCTGCAGGGTGTCTGTGAGAAGTTTGCTGCTTTGATGAGCGCGCATCGAGGGGAGATTGAGTTAATTATCACCAGTGCTCAGGTATGGAGAAAATGGGGAGGGATGGAGCAGGGATTAATTGATAGAAAGATTGGAAGCCACATTTTATGACAATTGGTTATCTGACTCAATTTTGCACACAATTAGAGACTGGATGCGAAGACCCTTCAACGCCTCGAGGCCGCCGTTGCTAAGTCCGAGTATAGCCAGGGCAAGAAGCTCAAGGTTGTCCCAAAGGTTCGTGACCTGCACGCAGTTATGTTTCATTAATTTTCACGATTTATGACGATTTACAACAAACCCTCTTCCACCTATCATGAATTCCGTGACTTAAGCTAACCATGTCCCTTGTTTTTTACCAGATCAACCCCGATCTTGTTGGTGGGTTGGTTGTCGAGGTTGGCGATCGAACCGTTGATCTCAGTGTCTCCTCGAAGATCGCCAAGCTCAACAAAGTTCTCACTGACACCTTGTAAAAATATACATGTTCTTCCAATACTTCCATTGTAAAATTTTACCCGGGAGTACGGAGCAAATGAATAGATATTTGTTGTTCTAAATTCACATGTTTCATTTTCTATTCCCTCTCGTTTCCCTACGGTGCCTTCCCATACATATATATATACTCCACCATTGCTAGAGGGATGAAGAGGTATAGAGGATGGATTGGTTTCAATTATTACTTTTCATCCCCTGGTCAATTCAGCAGACAATCTGTCTATTTGTGTCATTTGAGTCCTCTAATCAATGTATGTATGTACTGTACAGTACTCTGTACTCTACATTCATATGTTTTATACCAATAACAAGAAGTTTGATAATCACCACCCCGTGAGACAAAATAGCAGCAACGTATAGGTTCAACAACTTAGATTCATCTCCACGGTTACTGATTTGATATCAATCTCCTATATCAAAAAACGCTGGTCGGGGCTGGTACAGGACAAACAGTGTTTCGGCGGCCAAAATTACGCCGAACTGGTACGGGTAATACTCGCTGTTCCTGGCCTTGTCTCCTTTGACTAGGGCGTGATAACTTCCCCGGCAGCTGAGCCTAAGCTGTGTACGGCTTCTTTGACGCCCACAAAGGATCAACTGTATACAACGCCTCCTGCAGAACATAAACACACAACTCTGGAAAATCCTTAAGGATTGCGAATATCTGTGTCTATTCCTCTCCGGACTTACGAGGCATTTGAAATCTCATCCTCTACGATCGAAGGGATCCAACGTCATTTTCCGTCCAGACCCTAGAGGGACCCACGTTAGTCTAGCTCCTTCGCAGAAAATACTCCGTGAAGGACCTGTCAGCCCTGCATACTGGACTCGAAATTGCATGCATTTTTGTTTGCATATTTGTTTCCCTTGCCGAACTTCTCTTTGCCTGCAAGAGATATAGTATCTCATATGCAGACAAGTTCCACAGCTTGCAGAGCTTCCTAGCAACCAATGCCGCCGCATTCTGCAATGAAAACAAGACTCGCATTGTCTGGGGACGTTCAACAACGAGCTCCACTACATCCTCTCAGCCATGGAGCAGCCCATGGCGAATGATATCCATGTCAATTACAGTAGCAATAATTCATTAGTTTCAAAAATCAAACCGCCCACCGCACTCGGAGCCTCCCTGAAGCTTACCCCCTCAAATTCTCCAGTTGTGAAACCGGCAACGCGACCGGCTCACAAACCCTCGCATCACTCCACATTATCACTGCAGACTGTAATAGGGACAACCACCTCGAACCCGAATGGCTTCTCCTTCCACGAACCTACCAAAACATTTGCGCTGTGTGCTGGCTCTGCAACGATTCTGGCGGAGGTAGATGGGGATCTAAACGTCTCGCAACGCTTCTTTCGTGCCCGCCCTACCGCTGCACCCGTTAATCCTGTGCAGTCATTCTATAATACGTCGACACCCCCCACTACTCCAGACACGCGAACGAGGTCGTTTCAACCGGTGGGTAGACAACCGAATATCCATGGAGCGCTCTACGCTAGCTCTCCAAACGCAGAATGGGCTGAAACCAACGGCTCGCGAACATGGAGTTCTCGAGAAAGGATAAAGGCAGTCACTTGTGTCTCGATAAGTCCGAATGGCAGGTATTTAGCTGTAGGAGAGGCATGTTCTGCCCATCCCGCCATTTACAACCGAAAAGCAGACCATTTCGAATCCAGCACTAATATGTAGTATAGACCGGCTATAGCCCACGAGTTTTGATATTTTCGACCGCCAAGGACGCTCCGCTAGATACTCCTCTTTCGATAATGACTGATCACTCGTTTGGCATTCGTAGCCTTGCGTTCAGTCCCACTTCGCAGTATTTGGCGACGCTGGGAGATATAAATGATGGATTTCTGTTCATCTGGGCGGTAAACTTGAAGAATGGCGCTGCGAAACTGCATTCGATAAACAAATGTACATCCTTTGTTAGGGGCATATGCTGGATGGGGAACAGTCTGGTCACGTATGTTGGAGATATTGCAAGCTGTCTTCACTTAGCAGGGTTATAGCTAATATATTTTCCAATCTAGTGTTGGAATAAGGCATGTCAAGGTCTGGCGACTGACAGACCCTACACCCACCTCTCCCTCGAAACAGCAACGATTTACACTTGACTCTCCGGTGCCTGCTTCATCTAGTACCTCGCCAAAAGCACTTGCCGGTAGAAACTGTCTTCTAGGTAGCTTGGGGGACACCACATTCAACTGCATCTCTAGCATTTCAGACAATCAAGCAATTATTTGTTCTGATACTGGTATGATATGTCTTCTCGATGATACTTCCGGAAGCCAGAAGTTACATTTTATCAAAAGCGTATCCTTTGGCATTAGCTCCATTGCGGTGGATCATGAATCGAGGACAGTTTGGCTAGGTGGTCATGGCCGAATAATACAAAAATCCTCAATTGAAGAATTGAAGTCAATGGTTTCCCAATCACCAACACACTCAGATCACGACGAAGGATACTCATCCGGTCCGAAAACGAAGAGGCCAGCCATCGTTTCCATGGGTATATTTGCCACCCACATCGTCACGGTAGATTCCACTCGTGCTATACGCGTTTGCCCTCTGGACTGTTTGGACCAGGATAACGTTGATACTCTGGCGGAAATATCAATGCCCGCACATCGGGATGCCGTGCTCGGTATCGGAGTTCTTAATACTCCTAATATGCATGAAGCGGACTTTTTCACTTGGTCCTCTGGTGGAACAGTTAATTTCTGGAACCTACAGGGCAAATGTCGTGCCACAAGGAAAGTTAAGCTAGATCAGCTGCCCGGTAACGATGATGATAAAAATGAACTGAAAATTGTACGAACCTCTGAGAATATGACTATGTTTATTTCGGGTGATAAATACGGCGTTATAAGGTACGTTATCAATTATGTTCATGCTACAACTTTGGATGTAATAGTCTTCCTTACTAATATAGTATATTAGACTAATCACCGGGAAGCTATGGAAATGTGCCACTGAAGTCAGAGCCCATGGCGGTGAAGTTACAGACATTGCAGTTCAGGAAAATGCAAGTATACACATGGTTGCAACTTGCGGTCGAGACAGGATGGTTCAGCTTTTTAGGATCACTGGTGATTCTCTCGACTTAATACAAACAATGGATGAGCACGTTGGCGCTGTTGGACGCCTCCTATTACTGAATGATGGCGAAAAATTACTCTCTTGTTCTGCCGATCGTACCGTGATAGTTCGCGATCGCGTAACCCGAGAAGCCGATGGAGATACCACCGTTGCTTTCAGCCTGTCGAAAATCCTCACGCTCAAAGCCTCACCGGTGTCAATGACGCTTCACCCCGAGAGCGCTGATACTCTTATCTTATCCACTATAGACAGGCATATTCACAGGTTCGATCTTGCTTCTGGTAGACAAATGCATTCCTTTCGAGCCTCAGACCCAGAAACGAATGATACAGTCGTAGTGAGTTCCTTGACCATAGACTCTGAGGTTCCTGAACAGAGCCCACCACTTCTTGTTGGCGTGTCAACAACGGATAAGTCGATTCGTGTTTATGATTTTGATAGGGATGTTCTCTTAACACGCGAGTTTGGTCACACCGAAGGCGTCACTGACATTGTTCTTATCGAGGCAAAACTAACAGATGCCAAAGAGAAGGGGAAAAAGACTTTGATAAGTACCGGCCTTGACGGCATAATCATGATTTGGGACCTTTCCATTCAACAGCAGCAACCAGTCCAAGAAATCCAGCCAGTGGCACCTGTTCGTGCGGAGGATGCCCCCCCAGCAAAGGAACTGACAGCCGTAAAACCACCACTGCGTCGAATTCTTTCAAAGACCGAGCTTGCCGGTTATCAACGTCTCGATGCCTATTCCTCTAGCCCCACCACTTCTAGAGAGCAGTCACCACCACGTATCCGGAGAAAATCATCAAGATACACACTTAACCCATCAATATCCAAGAGTGGATACAGCACCCCTATCGTTTCCACTCCTCCACTCCCCCCACCTCGTCGATCAAGCATCATTCTCTCTGACGCCAAAAGCAGACGCTCCCCATCTCCTCCTAGTCCAAAACCCCATCCGTCCAAAATCCTCGCATCAAAACTCAGTAACAGCAGCCTCCGTCACCCCCCTCTCGATTTCCGCTCTCGAATAAAACCCAACGGCGGCACCCAAACTAACAATGCCAACGCCACACATTCACCCTCACCATCTCCTTCACAACCCAGCGAATTCGGGAGCCTCAACACATCCACAGAACAAGTCTGCAGGACATTGCGGACTTATCGGAAAAAGCTAAGCGGTTCCACGGACCATCTACATGCCGCTACAGAGCTGGAAAGGGAGCTGGATCTCACAATCCGTGCGCTTGGTGAGCGATCGAAGCGCATCCAGGTTAACGAGAATTCTCTACTGGAGAATAATAACCATGGAAAGGCAGGTAGAGTCATTAGAACTCCACTAGCTGTCAAGTCACAGAAGCTGGCGCGACGGGTGCCATCAACCCCAAATCTTAGTAGGAGTATCAATGGTGGAAGCCTCTATCGGACACATTCTTTGGATCCTGATGGTGAAGGATAGGTGATAGGCCCATCAAGATCGATTTATTTTGGGGTCTTGGTTTTTGGGATGATTGTTTTTTGCCATCTCCCCTTGTCTTTCTTCTTCAACCTGCTTAACCTTTTCCATTCAGATTCTTATTAACTAAGTAGCGTTCCCATCTCGCGAAAATAGTTTTCATTTTGAATTTTTTAAAGCCTCTCCCGATTCTCTTCTTTTCTGAACCTCTTATCTTACCTTGCTAACTTCTTTACTTCATACTATTCTTTTCATTTTCTTCAAGTGATTCCCCGCGTTCTGGTCCAACGTGCATAATTCATTTCCTGGTTTACTGTTTCTCTTAGACCTAACCCCTCAGGTTTCCCCTCTCGTTTCTCTCCTTTGTTTGTAAAATATCCCTTCTATTATTTTTTGAAGCCACTTTGTTAGCTGGAATATATGTGGGTTCTCCCTTGTTCCGTGTTTTCTATTATATATCCTTGTTTCTCAAAAAATAAAAATAGAAGTAAGAATTAAAAAAAACAGGTTTCTTTGTGTGTCGTTATATCAGCAAAACTTAAGCGGGTTAATAGGGTATTGGCCAGTTGGATGTATTGGTTTACTCTTTTATCGGTTTTCGCTCCGTTTTCAATACCAAATTTCTGAAGAGAGGGAAGCGCATAACAACTAACTTGTTACTGGGGCCCGGAATCAATGTCAAGCGGGGCTATACTTGTTTTCACGGCGTATTAGCGTCCGTATATGTGGAGGAAAAGAGATGGATGGGTTAGAATTTTCTTTTGTTCCCCTTTTCCCTTCTCTTTTTCCATTTCAGAACTGCAAAGTTCACTTCTTCTGCTTCATTTTGTTTCCATTGCTATGTATATATATGTTCCTTTCCTTACAGGTACACTTTCATTATACCCCTTTTTCACTTCCATGTCATTCACGTTTTACCTTTTTCGGATACATTTTTCAGAATCCGTTTTGTCTGAACGTTGAGAGACCCCTGTAGGCTCCCGTTGGGCGTTAAGGGGCTACAATTGCGCTCTTCATGAAGAGGTTTATATAACCGCACCAGATACGAAATCAGCAAATTTGTTGGTGAACTTGCTTCACAGATTCGCAATTCAAGGATTTAATTTTCTCCCTTTTTATCCCACTCTTTCAGAGGGGAATTATTTTACAGGAAATCAATTTCTCCTTTGTGCATCTAACTCATTTACGCTTCAGAGAGTGAAAAGGAGAATTTAATAGAGTAACTAGATCTATAATCGCTTGCTGATATGATATGTAACAACTTCCAGGTTCAAATAGCACCGTTAAGTATATCATAATTATAACAATGACCAATTCCACTACTAGCTCCCCTAACCCCTTCCATAACCTAATATAAAGCGCCACCCCTCAGTCCCATTTCAAACCCTCTAACTTCTCCCTGAGCACCTTATACAACAAACCCCCATCATGCATCAACCCCGCCAAGTCCAGCGCCTTCTGCGCCCACCGACGACACGAAGCATCATCAGGTTTCATATAGAAATCCACAGCACGATTAAACGCCGTCGTGGAGAGCCATTCTAGCTCATCCTCTGGGTAACATGACAAGGAATTTGAAGATCCTTGCTGCTGTCTTTGCTCTCCGTGTCGATACCTCCCTTGGCTCTCCCTTGCTAATGCGTAGGCCTGGTCGAGCACACTCTCTGCCATCTCGACGTTCGAGTCTAGGGCAAGCTGAAAGTGGCACCGAATCCAGCGGGAGAGTTTACTGGTGTCATGTGCTTGGTTGCGGCGGATTATATGTGTCGTTATTTGCTATATTGTGATCATTTGTGAGTGGCTGGCGGATAAAAAGGGGGTTGGGAATTTAGGATAGCTGCATGGATCATGTATTTAAATTTACCTGTAAAACCCGCGTAGCATTCTCAATTGGTGTGTCGGAGCAGAGCAAAGCATCTGAAAAAGTGCCATATAACATATTATCTGCGTAATGTTCAGATTCACTGATGATTTCATCGAGGCTTTCCCACTGGTGTAGTCGGGCTGCAGCTTCAAAGTCGAAAGCCAGCAGTGTACGGTGCCTTTTTAGAAAATTGTCTCGATGCTTTCCTTCCCAGTCTGTGGTTTCGGCACCCAAAATTCCTCGAAAGCTTTGAATATGGTTTCTGGAGTCTAGGTAATAATCACGCTGCAATGCTTATGTCAATAAAGGTCAATCTAGATAGTTTTTGGGTGGATATTTTGAAAACACCTGAACTGTAGTATCAGCCTCCGTGCGGGCTTGAGCTATGCTTAGTATTGCTCCCAGAAAGTGGCAAAAAAGCCTTCGCATAGTAATACCATTTCGTTGTTTGGGATTCAGGTCTAAAGGATACATATCGAGGAACTAGTTTCTAGTTAGTCAACAGACAGAAAGTGTTCTGACGGAAACACTAACTCACTTTGATACTTGTGTCCACCAGAGACAGCAGAAGATGTGTATCCCATTTCGCGCAATACTGCACGGCGAGATTATAGCTGTTGCGAGAAAACCATTCCAACTCAATGACTGAAAAGGGGCTACCGTTCCCCTGAATACGAGATCTGATAGCCATTGCAAATGCTTTGGGTATAAGTTAACAACAACTCAATTAAACCATCCAGTAAGTCAAACATACATATCTCAAATACTCTGCAAATGCTTTCTATGACCTCTGGCTTTTGTGGCCTGTCAGCATCCAGCTCTGCGATTAGAAGGCGGATAGTACATCTACAGTTTACATTAGCAGGGCTTCTGCAGGAAGGGAAGTTGATCAAAACCAAATCTGCGGTTCAGATAAATATTCACCGGAGGAGTTCTGGTAAATGAATCCCAACTATCGATTTCTTATCAAGCATGTCTAAGAGAACCTGTAGAGCCATAAATTCCTGGCTTTTATCGTCAAAATGTCGTGATTCGGCAACGCATGCCAATATATAGTTCTCAGCCCCGGCATCTTGCTTGGACAGGATTTCAAGACATTCTCTTGCTGTCCATATCAGTCAGATCAGATTGGCAGAAATAGACAAAATATAGTCATCTCACCTAATTCCGCATTATTGTCCAGTAATGCAATTCTATACATCAGATATTGTGTCAACCCATCAGATCGTGACGCTTCTGACATTTGGTGAAGGATCTGACGTGCCCTTGCGGCATCCCTTTTCTCCAACGCGCAAAGGATTATTCTCCTATTCAGATTGAGCCCGGATTCCGAACAAACAATTAAACAAGAATAAACCATTACTACCTACCTACGGATTTTGGACTTGTTCGATTCCCCTGCATTTTCAAAAATCGCATGCTGGGCCAGCAGGCACCATTTTTCAACAACATCATACTCCTTTTGCTCAAAAACGATATTGCATTTCTTCCACAGGAGCTAAGCAGTACTTCAAATGTTAGTTAAAGTCTCGTAGAGTATGTGAAGAGGAAACTGACAATTAAAGACGCTTGGGCAGCCTCCTCGGTCAGCGATTTCCTTAATGATGCGCTCAGCTTCTCTGCAGCGGACAAAAGAGAATCAAGGCCATTTGTAAATCCTTCCAACGCAGTTTGCATCCAAACATACGTGACAAAATATCTTTCCAATAGGGGAACGTCGTTATATAAAATCAATCTCGGTAGAAGTAGATTTTCCATTGCATTGCTCGCCATTTCCGAACTGTATAATTGATTAATACAACCAATTCCCCAACGTTAGCAAGCCGGAAATGTCTTGGAGACTCACTTCCACTTGTTTAATCGATGGATGTGGCGGGTTATCCTTAAAAAAAATGTTAGATATTAAGTTTCAATGATTGTTATTTCGGGCTGACCAACATTTTAAAATTAGAAGCGGTAGCAGGAGCCGTCCGCGTGAGAAGGGATAGCTCTGCATAATTTAGTTAAGTCGCTTAAGCCTCAATTGGGATTCGCTATACATACTTTCATAATATCGTTGACTGTCCGGGGAGGCTTCTTTGCTGATAACGACCAGGTTCAAGATGATGACTGAAAGTCGATTTCCGTACTCCTGAAACCAAATTACCATTAACAGAGAATCTATCAACGGAAAAGCCAAACGAATCGTACTTACTTGTTCAAGTATATGAAGTAAACTTGCAACAACAGCTTCGCCGTCCTCGTGTTGCAATGACAAATTCGCCCGAACTAAATAGAAAATAGGACAAAAAGGTTAGCAACATCCTGGCACCAGATAAGGATAAACGAACTTACCTCTCCCAAGAAGCACCGCTAGCCGGAGTTCTGTAGCATGCTGACCAAGTTGCCCAATTTCATGTTGGTTTAACGCATCATAGGACCTTTCTAGCCATAGGGAAGCCCATTCATGTTTACCCTGACTCAACATGGACTTTCCAATGTCGTAAAGGACCACAGCCAGCCGCTCAGCAATGGTAGGACTATGATTTAAATATGCAGCATCGAGCTTAGAAAACATATGTTCCATAACATCTATTTGATTTCGACGCCATGACTGCTCCGGTAGCCGCTTAGTCATTAATGTTTTAAAGCTTTCGGGTCTGTATATCTTACCAGTGCGACGCGCAGAATATAGTATTCAGTAGAATATTTAGGAACACTTTCGACAGGAGTGACGCTTCTCTGATTGCGCCTTGACAACGCTTCTTCTCGAGACGCGGCTTTCTCAAGTACCCTCAAACAGAGATCCAGTTGGTCGATATCTGGGAGAGGCTTCAGTCCTAAACTTTGTATAGAACATCCTGCTTTCACTAACCTAGACAACCCTGTGCCGTGGTTAAGGCCACTTTGAGTAGCCTCATATCATCTGTAAATTCTTCTAACTTAGGGCTGGCATGAAAGCAATATTAGTATTAGATGCTCACCTGAATCAGCCCCCCTAGCTCCTTTTCCCGTTCCAAGATCAATCATGAGAAACGAAAAAGCCCTGGCTATTCAAATGGCTAATTATCAGCAAGCCCTACCCAACTCACACGGGCAATAAAGGATAAAAACAAAAACTGAAGAATATTAAATCCGTATTTCACACACCAGATGAAAAAACAAGGAGATGTTCCCGTTTTCCCCAGTCTTTCCTAATAAGTCGTGTACACATATTCCACAACTGCGTCCCTATTGAATCTAATGATTCTTGATCCTCAGACGAAGGAACGCCTAGAACCTCAATGTCAGATATGTAGTTTATTCGTCTGTTGATGCTGTTAAGTTTATCGCATATCGCAGCATCGTTGTCATCTTCCATATACTTTTGGAATATCTGGCAGAGGAATCTGCCGAAATCTGAATTGGTTTTGCATCCACAAGACATACTCAGTTATCCAGGACATTTTAAAGGCTAAAGAATAAGTAGCGGGAGAAAGAGAAAGCTTTGTGACGTACCTAAAGCATGCTTTTTCTTCGCTGAAAGACTGGTATAGAGTGGCGGCATAGCTAGGTGAGATAGATAGCTGTGGGACGCTTAAAATTGGTGGATTCCCTCCGTTTCTCAACTTTCCCCGAAACCTTCTACTGTTCTTCTGTGCTCCTGCACGAATAACAGGATTAAATACTAAAGAATGAACAGTTTCAGTCTTGAATAGATTGAAGGATTGCCCAAGAACAGACGGGTGAGGTTGAAAGAAGTCGAGCTAGATCCGGGTCACGGGGTCCTATTGGAACTACCCCTTTTCCTTGCCTGCCCATCTACATAGTATATCGAGCCTCACTAGACAGTAGGAAGGGCATCAAGATGCACATATCCATTACGTCCTTGAGAGTATTTAGACAGAATAACGATGATGTGGTCGTTTATTTACATTGACAGGCTCTAATAAGCCTGTATATCGCCCGCAGAATAGAGAAGTGGGGAGCAGTTTAGTTGTGATATGACATTAGACAGAAGCGCGCTCAACAGATAAAAATGAAATCTCATAATTCAGCAAAACTCATGATGAGAATGGTTAATTGAGGGAGCATGTATATGAATAAAACAGCATGTATGTACGTACAAACAATATACACATAACAAGCAGGCCAACCCAAAACATATTTTCCTGAACGGGTCATCTCAAAAACGAAGAAAACGAAACAACCTTCCGGCATAAAATCATCGATCTGTTCGTTTCATAGGGAGGAAATTTCCAACAATAAGCGACGGTCTAATGCAGCTAGTGTTAGCATCTCTGACAATTTTCCATGTTGAGTTTGCTCCAGTACTTACATGTTGTGGGTATCACGGCGGATCGTAAATGAAAAGCAGCACTTAATTCCTTCTGCCCGACTGTTACAATTCGGGCTTTTCAACGTACAACTCGTAAGCATGGCTTTCTGGGTGCTGTCGAATGCAATCGCTCCAAATTTCTCCCAGTAGCTGACTAGCTGGTCTTCGACGATGATTTCGTGGATTGCAAGTTTACCCTTTTAAAGAGCGCCATGTGAGTAATCTATACCAAATTCGGTTGTTCACAGATAACACAGGAGGGTGGGGTCCTAAAGTGAAAGAAAGAAAAAAAAAAGTCTTACATCCCGCAAAGACTCAATAGGGACATCAATAAGTTGAGCCATCTCTTTATTCCCCCGGAAAATCTGGCCAGTTCTCCTCCAGCAACAAGCCGGTATAGCCATACTGGCAAAGACACGATCATACTCCATCAAGCTACGCTCAAACCACATCTCAACAACCAACAACTCCATATCAGTCAGCGACTGCATTCGTTCACGAAACTTGGGACGGAATTTATCGAGTTGTCGAAGGATCTTTTGTCGCGATGCAGGCTCTAGATGTTTCTCCATATATGAATTCAGGCGGGCGTAGCCACCGACGTAGTTGAAAGGCTTTAGCAAGCCGGCATCGTATTTGGCTTTCAAAAGCTTGTTCATCCTCTCCTCTGGCGGATCAGTGCCCGAAGGGTCAGCTGCTGTCATATAGTATGTTTCCTTGGCTTTTTCATTTCCAACACTGCTACTGGGGCGTTGAATTGAGTTGCCAATGGTGGAGTTTTGGGATTGGGCCGCAAGCAATGATGGTGGTAACATAGCCTGTTGCTGCTGCTGCTGTTGGTGATGCTGTTGCTGTTGCTGCTGCTGCTGCTGTTGCTGCTGTTGCTGCTGTTGCTGCTGTTGAAAAATAGATTGGTTATTCTGTGGTGGCATATTGGCAGCCATGGAATTGAGTAATGATGCATCCGAATAGGGACCAGAAATTTCTTCCCCAGGATACATGGAGGCGTCGTCTAGCAAACTTGTGCTCAGGAAGTCGTTAAGCAGATTATATTCGTTTGTAACTTCCGGATGGTTGAACATATATGATGGATGGAATGTGTGCATGTCTTGGAATTGATTATGTGCCCCTAACCGCCAATCGTTGAAACTCAAAACTATCTGTTCTCAGTAACTGAAATAAAACTGAAATTCGAGGACCTTTTTTTTTTTAAAAAAAAAAAGCAAAAGAAAAAGAAAAAGAAAAAGAAAAAGAAAGAGAAAATATATTGATGAATGACTCACGATGTTGCGGGTTGACATTAACCGGCTGAATTGGTGCGGCGGAGATGCCCTGGACTTGGGAAGCTTGAGAATGATCGATCGAAGTCGACAAATTTGGAATGTTAGAATCACGAAGCACTTGGTTTATTTCGCGCGTATCGATTTTTCGTGGCATATTTTGAATTCCCGCAAAGTCATTCCTCGACGGACCCTCTTCTTCTGGCGCAGAAGTCTCCTGCTCGGTCTTTAACCGCTTGACGTTTTCTCTAGGTTCGTCATGGCAGAGATGACCTATGTTGCGTTTTATACAGCGAGTGCATGGTCGTTCCTGTTTTGCTCAAGGGTCCCAAAAAGAAAAGGTATGCGTTAGCCACTCTAACCCTTAGAGACGTTAAAAAGTAAAGCGAAAAGTCAGTCAATTATGGGGAAGAGAGGGTCCAATTATTGAAGTCGTACCGAATCGCAGGTCATATGCTGTCCAACCTCGAGCAGAATTGAATTTCTTTCCTGTTAGCCAAGCAAATTCCTTTGTATTCCATGGCGGTCTTGGTGCTCCATGGCCATGCTGTTATGAGCGGATGCCAGCAAATTTGGCTGCTAGCGGGGCATCAATTGAGGCAGAAAATGGATTGTTAGTGCTCACCGAACGTCGGCAATAGACACAGGCTGCAGATGTAACAAACGGTTAACCTTCAGCTCGGGAGGGCCAAACGCAAAAAGCGTAGAAGATAGTAGATGAGCAGAATGGATCAGAGCATGCAGGCAGGGACAAAAAAAAAAGCCAAACTCACCATGATTGACTTTGCGACGCTTTTTTGGGCTGGCAGTTGCAGGCGATCCATCTGCACTCTTTGGCGGTGTTTGATTATTCTTTGTGCTCATCTCTTTAAGTTGCGCATCACGTTCCGTTGCTGGGTCTGGAGGAGCTGTCTCTGAACCTCCTCCATCCCCTGGCTTTTGCCCATCGCTTTCTGCGGACTGCTTCACCCCGTTCCTAGTCATCAACGGATTGTTTACTTCAAAATCAATATATATCTTCAAACCCTAGTCGCCGGTTTCACGCTGGGCTGGTAGTGTGTTGAAGAAGCGACCGCTTTTGTAGCACTGCAGGTCGATGGGAGTTACCGATGCGCAGTGGCTTTCCGCAAGGCAACACTGGTGTTCGCTGGTTCTGGGGTCGGTCGCCTTGCTTGAAGCCTTGCAGGCGGGGTAACTAACAGCGGAGCCGTTGGGCTGAATGGAGGAATTGATGCGTTTTGGCCTTTTTTGAGGCGAAAACAGAGAAAGATGAAGCAACAATGCTTTTGTATTCCCCCGCATTCACAATCAGAGTTCCGAGGCCCTGACGGGTTGCTAGGTCAGCCGATAGAGAGCTCCGACGTTTGGCTCACCCGTTCTGCCGTGAAAATTTGGGACGAATCTTAAAACAAAATGCCAAGGGTCCTTTTTTAGCCACCACCACAATAATTTATTATGAACCGTATTATGCTGTGCATGTACTGTACATTAAAATCTCATGTTTTTGAGTATACACCAACCGATTGTACACCAATTCATAAACCTTGCGCATTATTCGTTATTCTTGCTACAGATAACCAGTTACTGTACATGAACTAGCTACGCTGCTGTATCCAAATCCAACTATCCCTGAACATACATACATATATGAACATACATGTCGCATTAGAGCACGGTTATTCTCGCACCATACTTGAGAAGCCTTGTCTCATAATGCAGTGACATGCCTACAAATATATAGCCATGGCATTATCATATGTGGAAAGGGGATCCCGGCATATCATCCACATATCGAGTGGCCAATATAATGGGTCTCGGTTCTCGCTCACTTTCGTGGCTCCAAAAGAGGATCTTGAATATGGGGATAGCTATTTTCTAACCAAAGTCGGAATTCACCAACAATGAATTTTCCTTTAAAAGTCGATTGCACTTGAATTCCGGTGGAGTTACATAACAAACTTTCAGATCCACATCCAAACCCGATATCACCGTAACGGTAAAAGGTTCAAGCATGACTGGGAACGAGAAATGGCTTCTCTGAGGCCGGCAAGCTGCGCGGCGTTGTTCTGCATCGATTCGAGATGGCTACGCAGCTGCTTAATCAGCGGATAGAGCTGAGATTCCGCATCAATCTGCTTGCATTTTTTAGGTCAGCTTGAAAAGGATGCAAAATTTCTACAGAAGAGCATCCGCACCTCGCACAGCATGCTCCCATTATCCTTCGGCCCAGCAAAGGTAAAGTCTGTGCCTCCGCCGTCAGAATGTTGTGCCGAATGTTCGAGGTGTCGAAAGACCGGGTGAGCCTAGATTGACAGGTCAGCGCACTTCCGAAGACCTTATCAGATAGGTTAAGATTAGGAAATCCAATATTGTATGTACATTTTTTGTTTGTCTCTTTCTCTCTGCTTGCGCTGCTTTCGCATTCTTCTCCAGCTCTTCAAGCTGTGCTCTGTCTTTTGCAAGCTGCGCTTCTTCCCGGTGGATTTCTGCTCTCAATAAATCTGCTGAATTTGTGGCTGTGGCCAATTGAAGTTCCAAGACGCGCTGCACAAGATTCTTCAGCTCCAGTTTGTTGGGGTGAGGAAGTCGATAGATCTAAGAAATACTAACATTGTCCTCCAATGCAGCTTCATAGTCGAAATCGGCGTCCTTAGTGCCAGGAGGGAATGGCATTCGCGGTAACCGCCTCCCTAAACTGCTGACGGAAAAATATACGATTACCAATTAGCAAGGCATCTTCGTGGTGAGGTTCTGGTTAAATTTCCCAATTCAAGCAGGCACTTTGCTAATTTAAATTAACTTGTCCATACTTTTTTCTCACTGCAACAACAGCGGCTTGGGCGTCAATACGCTTTCGTTCGTCACGGTGTCTAGTGATAACCGGCCGTTCAATTGATTGGAAAAGATCTTTGATCTTTTCTTGAACGGAATCCGGTAAAGTCGTCCATTTTGTCTTGATTCTACGTTCCGAGATATGGCGAATGCGGGGTTTTAATATCGCGAATCTTTTGCGGGCGTGTTCTTCCTGCTGTTCATCCGCCCCGTCCCCATCGTCTGCGCGTTGCTTTCGTTTTGGAGGCATGATGGAACAATCAAAGGCGAATCAGTTCAACACTAAAACCCAAAAGCTAATGCGTCAATATTCCCCAAGTCTTCCAGCGTCACAGGTTGAACCGTTTGTTTTCAAGATCATGTCCGTCGTTTGTTTTGGGTTGGGTTTGAGAGCCGCGAAATCATATGCAAACGCCAAGGAATCTGTTAGCTGTTTTATCATCACGTGATTTCCCCCTTATCAGACATTCCGTCATTTGACCACTTCGACAACAACCTTCTTTTTCATGGGGTCAAACCATTGCAATTGGAGAGCTCAACCTCGAAGATATCTTCAAACAAGCGGAAGAAGTAAGAGAAGTTTGCCAACATGGAGCAGTGAACTGGATCCAAATCCTCATCATCTGGCATAGAATATCTAGTCAGGAACCGGATCTTACCTGGCTGGGAGGGTCACACCAGCTACCAAAGTTCGTCTATTCGGATGGCTTTACGGGGCCATATTATTTAATAATTTAACCAAAGCACTTGGAAGATGTAAAAAGGAACCGGTCAACACAGGTGAGATCCATGTGAGATCTATATCAAATTTCGGAAGTTTCAGATTTTATGGATTTCTCCTGAGTCACCAGAGCTTAATCCTCATTCTATGAGCGATGGGAACGTGATATCCCCTATCTTCATGCCGCGTTTAGGAGGCTAAATCCCCGATTTTCTCCCTTTCCAGAGAAAATAACTTATTGCTGCTCTATTCTGACATAGGATATTGCCTCTGGCAGTCGAGATATCTACCTTCTGTCTACAACCTTCTGCTCTCAGCTTCCAACCGCAACGATCACGCTAAGCCTTACAGTTTCGGAAGCGATCCATAGGCAAATCTATTCTTGACTCGCACACGATCTTCTTCGGAATTTGGATTATTTTCCCACTCTTCATTAAAATAAATTTAAACATAGTTTTGGGTGGCTGGCTAGTCCAGGGATCAGTTGAGCCAGATCATAGCTCCAACAACATTTTTGCTTGCAACATTTTTGCTTGCATTATTAGTTTTGTATACCCAGTAGTTACGCAAGCACATTGCTCCCATTTACTTTTTTTTACCGGTGGCAGGTGAAATCCCCAAAAATCATCTTCCCTGCCTTTCTGCCGTCTTCTCGATGACTTTGAGAGGAATACGACAACGAATAATTCTTTGCTTCAACAAGTCCAGAGCGAACCCCTGTTCAACCAGACTTGGGCAATCGGGAGTTTGCGGAAGGGAAGGCATGAAAACTCTGAAAATACTGTACGTCAACGTTTGCCTAAACGACTTCATCGAAAAAACAATAAATCTCCCCAAAAGGACCCGCTGTGTCTTTTCCAGCGGAATCAAAAAGAGAATTCATTATGTGGATTCTTCAAACTATGACCCCGAATTCCATGCCCCTCCCGTCAACCCATGATCGGCAACAGCAGCTCGCTCTATTCTGTACAGCCCGCCCCCATTAACTATGCTAGGCTGCATATCTCGTTTCTAGTTTTCTCAACTTCCCCCCCTCCCAACTTCCTTTATTTTACACTACAGGCGTAAATTTAATCTGTGCTGCTTCTTTTACGTTAATTTTTATTTTTATTTTATCTTTTTTGTGGCTTTTCTAAACACACGTGGACTTTGAGGTTGCCTGCCTGATGGCTAACATACTTCTCCACTTTCTGGATCACACCACGAACTGGATCACTTGCTAACGTGATAGTGTAATTTAGTATGCACCAATTAAAATAATGTGGCTTCAACCTTCGTCCAGTTAATATTCAGCATATTCAGCAAATAGGAGTGAAACATCAACTTATTGTGGCTTTCTTAAGCTATTCAATACCAGGGATTAACTGTCAGACTGTATAATGTTCCATATACAAGTCTAAATCATCATATCACAGGTCGAACGAACAAAACACTGCTAATTTAAAACAACAAAAGCTATGTTGGTGTCTAGGGACTAGTAGGCCGTTACAGCGAAGCCAACCAAGTCAAATTAGGGATTATCAAATAGAGTTTTATATCACGTGGGTAAGTGACCCAATTAGTGGTGGTTGATCCAGAAAGTGGAGAAAGTATGTTACCCTTCGAGCCTCCTTGCTAATAATTAATTAACTACCTAACCAGGCTCAATACGTCATCGCACACGTACTATATATACCCCAGCAAACATCCAGGCCTCGTACTCACCTTCGCATAAAGCTCAAACCGAGTTCGTGCTCTCCATCCGTATATATAGACTTTATATTATGGAGTCATCTTTCCCACCTTAAGATTATTCAACCTTGCGGACTGTTGGATCCGAAGTAGTCAAATAGCTTAGTTACAAATAACTCCGCGCCCCACGCAGCCACACCCAACACCCAACACCTGCGCGCTTCACTGCCCCTCAAACCCCATTTAATATTTACATATTGATGTATAACTACCCCAAAGCTAAAGGAGAAATCAACCACTATTTCCAAACCCTACGACCCCGCCTTAACCGTATTGCTTGGATGAATCATGGCGTTTGGGTTGTTCCTAGTGGGGAACAGTCAGTCAAAACAGACAGTAAGTAACATCGACCAAGGACCTGCAACGATTTGGGGGGCTGGGGCGGGGGCGGGGGCGGGAGGGGTGGGGGTTTGGCCGACCTTTTTTGTGCCGAGCTGCGTATGTAAAATGGCGATTCTTCAACCATCATTATTCCTGTCGATCCCATCTCGGCAATCACCCTTTTTTAAAAAGTTTTAAGACAGTTCTCACTGCTGACAGGTAGCTAGATATTGAGAACAGAGTTTACAAATTGATAACTAGTAATAATGTAGAAGACGAGAGTAAGAGTTGAGCAGAACCTAACCATTGATCGCAATCTCTTATCCAAGCCTCAAGGCAGAGAAATAAATATCATGGAATATCCATCTTTCGTATTTATACTTGCTCAAAACTGGAACGGTAAAAAAATAACAATGCAGTTTGACCGACAACATAAAATATACAGATGCATCTCTGTTCATAATATGTGTGTACCTTGTCGACGAATACACCTTATAACCATCCATATACAGAGTTTGGCAATAATCACCAAACACAAAACAAACGCCATCGAAAATAGGCGGAGGGGAGAGGGATGTCGCCTCTTGTCGAGTTGATCCGTGGGAATGAATCAGGTGTGTATGCTAAAAAGGCGGTCAAGCGAGGGGGGGGGGAAATGGTAAACCAGTTTGGCTAGGGCATGGTGTATACTGGTCTACGCACGGGAGTGGATTGGATGGTTCTTTTCTAGCTGAGATTTGGATAGGACAAGATAAATCTTTTAATTCATCCTTCTCATGACATTCAGAGGTGTATAGTTAATGCAATGCATAGAATGGATACAAGGAACCTAGATAGAAGAACTATAAATAGAAAATATATAAAGGGATATTGGATAATGCGAGCTCTAAGAATAGCGGAAAGCTCCAGGCTGTATCGGTTTCCGCAGGTTGCAAAAAGTATATCCAAAACTGGTATTAAAAAAAAATAGGTATAAAATTGGTACAGAGAAATAAGAGGGAAAGATATGTATAGGAAGTAAATCGGTATGGTTCCAGCAAATAACAGAGGAAAGGTGAGAAATTATATGTGTGTAAAGGAACTTTTTTCATGAAAATTGGGAAGGGAAAAGAAATCTTGTTAAGCCGTATCCATCGTTGATCTCTTCTTCAGCTCATCCAACTGAATCCGCAATATCTCATTCCCCCGCAGAAGGTCCTCTAACCATTCCGCAGCCTGGATGAGCATGGTACTCTTGCTAAAGCCACCGCCATGCAACTCAGGCACGAGAGAACAGAGGTCATCAAAGCCCTGCTTAATGAGATTTCTCCGCTTCTGCTCGGAAAGAATGTGATTGGTGCGTTTCTGCTCCTCTGTAAGATTTTCGCGCGGTTTACCCTGTGCCTTTGGCTTTCGATGGTGATGATGAAGTGATGTATCGGTGCTGGAAGAGAAGCGTCGAGGTCTGGACGATTGGCTACCATTGGTACTATTATTAGACTCTCTGATGTCGTTATTGGTGTTATTGGGCAAGTCAGCCTCCACATCTTCCTCGTCCTTTATCCGATTCTTGCTCTTTCGCCGCTTCTTGGGTCTCGCACTATCATCATCTTGCCCTTCTTCAGCTTCTTGCCTTAGATCGTTCGCCGGCAAAAGCGCTTTCACACCATTTGTATTGCCATTGCCATTAACCAGGGGAGTCCATTCGGGGGCAGCCACAACTCCGTGATCGAGTGATCGTCGGCTTGGGGAGGGATGTCGTGTGTTTGCTGCGCTGCTCTGCGCTTCTAGGCAATCCAGGCTCTGAAGTAGGTCTTTGGTGCGATCTTCCTCGCTAGGTTGGTTTGGCGGGGCGTGATACCGTCGTTGTGAAAAGCCAGCATCTGAGCCCCATCTCAGTGTACTGATTCTCTGCTGCACTTCCGGATGCAGCTGCTGTTCGACGTCAAAATACATTTTGGCAGTATGAAATCCTTTGAAGAGAGAGAGATCCTTGGGGGAAGGCCCTTGAGGTAGCGGGTCGACGAAGCGGGGAGCCAGGAAGGAATTCTTAGCTTTCAAACCACTGTTTCCGTGGATATCATGGTCGTTTCCCATAAACACCTGGCCAGGAACGTAATCGTGTGAATTTATGACATTATTTTTCTGGTAGAGCATGGATGCTGCCGCTATCACATCCGAACTGTGTGGGGATATCTTGCTCATGTGAATTCCCTCTTCGTGTATTCCATTCGCGAAAGCGGGGTAGGGTCCCAGGGAGGTCGTTGAGCCCTCGAAATTAGGAGGAAGCTCCTCTGCCCACTCAAAACCAAAGTTGGCACCTGGTTTATTCTGGTCCCCTAGGGAGAACAAGAAGTCATTGCCATCCAGATGATTTGCGTCCATCGACGTGAAGAAATTGTTCAGCATGTTGGATTCAGTGTCATCGAGGAGAGAGGGCCCCGGTGGAAGCGCGGGAGCTTCGTCATAGGGCGTGTCGATGTTAAATAAAGGATCTGAAAGAAGAAGCAACATTTAAAACAGTTAACCGAAATTCGTCTTGACGGATCAGAGCAGGAATGAAAATTCATCGTATCTGTACATACATCCAAACGGGCCCGAAGTTGACTGGGAGGGCCGCCCCAAGTGTTGGCGTTGCTGATGTATAGGTTCAGATGCACTCATCTTCATTTTGAAGCATGGAGCCAACCTTTGGTTGGAGTTTCTGACAACCCTGCTCCTCCCTGTCGAACCCTCACAATAGAAAACGCACACTCGTATATGCAAATCGTCGGAACCTCATGAACTGGATGGGTGTAACATGGGGTTGTTTTGCCAGACCGTGAAATTTTCTTGAGACACCAAAAATCCGGGTATGGCCGCCGCGCGGGGAGAGTGGGGGG